CATCAGCGAGGAATGCTGTAGGATTCCCTGGAAAGCATCATCAGTGGGCTGCCCTGATGTCCGACTCATTCTGCACCTGTGGTAACCAAGGTGAGCAAACTGGCAGGAATGCAGTGCAGTCAGCCAGGCCTTCCGGCCCTGCTCTCAGAGTGCACACACGGTGTGAGCTTCTTTTCTTTAAAAAAAGAAATTTATGTCTGCAGAATTCCATGACATGCTAGATCTGAGATGTTTGAATCATAATGTCAAACACATCCTTGCCTCCTTAGCTTTTTTGGTTGGATTCCGTTGGTTTTTGTTTGTTTGTTTGTTTGTTTGTTTGTTTGAGAAATTGTTAAAGTGGCTTTCTAAATTATCATTTTCCTTCCAACTTTTTTGCTTTGAGAAATTTTCAACTTCTACAAATCCTACAGCCACACATTTACCCTTGATCCTTATAACATAGATGCAGTTGTCTTGTAGCTGTATCTGCACATGTGTGTATTAATGTTTTGTGTGTATGTTTATGTAAAATATCTCTTTCCCCTCTGAAGCAGGTGGGAAGTGAGTTGTAGATATTATAATACTTTATATTATGATGTGCTTCAGTATGTATGTGTCTTCTAAGGATAGTGACCTTCAAAACAACTAAAAATTTCATGATCATGAATAGGTTGCTAGGCATCTGATCTTGTGCAAAAAAAGGTTGCTGAAATGCCTTCTTTTAATATAACCTGTGAATTTTTAAATGAACCACACAGAATGTTTTAAGAGTATATAACTGCCATGGAGAGCTGTGAGGTAAACTGGGTTAAATGTTTTGGCACCTCTTTTTTTTGTTTGTTTGTTTTTAAAGATCTTCTTAGATGGCCATAAAGGCCAGGGCCAAGCCTGGCTGAAGCCATGTCTTCTTCATGGATAGTCAAGGCCAAAACATTGGTCCATCTTCAGCTGCTTTTCCCGGACCATCAAAAGGGAGCTGAAAAGGAAGTAGAGTACCTGGGATATAATCCAACACCTGTACAGGAAGCCGGCTTTGTGGCTGATAGCATTGCCCATTATGCCACTGATATTTTAGAATTAAAAACGATGAGAGGCAGAGAGTGAACAAGTGCCTGTTCCTGTCAGCTGGTTGACTCCCTAAAGACAAGGCTGGGCCAGGCCAAAATTGGGAGTCTGGAACTCAGTGCACATCTAAAGGAATTCAGTTACTGGTCACTGCTGTCACAGTGAGTCCGTGTTAGCCAGAAGCAGGAATGGAGACACTGAACCAGAGACCCAACCTCAGACACACTGACATGGGTCATGGACGGGTTAACTGTAGACTAAACAGCTGCCATGTTGGAATTTTTAAGGTTTGCATTTAAAACCACTGCTGTGAAATTTTACACATCCCCTACCTTGTTGGAACTATTGATTCTTTTTCTATTAGCATGTTTCTTTTTCCTTCCTGTATACCTTCCCTTTAATGCTGACTGTAAGTACTGTACCTTAGTTTGTATTCAGTATTATTATTGCAAAGAAGGGATGAGTTGTATAAATTGTGAAGTATATCATGGAGATAAGAGATCATATGAATTAGTTGACTTACTAATGATTTTTTAAACTTATTTAACACTTTTGATAGAAAGAAAAACTTAGTCCTTTCTCATCTGTTCACCTCTTTGTTGTTTGCTTATAATTGAATAGACAAGTATGACTCATAATGGAATTCCTATGGTGAAAGTGAATGGTTCATCTTGTTTGTGCCATATTGTGAAATTAGTGAAGCAGATTGGATTTTTTTAAAAGCTGATGTCATAGTTTGATCATGGACACCTTACATTAGAAAAATGAGATTGTAGATTTAGTTGAATCAGATAGAAAAGGCAGTTGTTGAATCACATAAAAAATATAACAATGAAAAAGCAATAAGGTTGAGTGTTGGAAATATTTTATTTTTTCTACTGAAAAATGATTCACAATGGTAGTGTTTACATTGGGAACAAAGGCCCTATAGTGCATGTGTGGTTCATTCATCTCCTGTTGTGTGTAGTGGTGAAACTGCACTGAAGCAGTAGCCAGGACAGCTACAATTAGGAAGCTACTTCGAAAACAACATTGTTGGGGAAGAGGACCTGATAAATCTGCTCTGCTTGCCTCTTCTAGAGATTTCTAGCCCGTCTACAGGAAAGCCCTGGAGTCCTAGAGTTGGTCAGGCTCTTTGACCCCCATCCCAATTCATGGATCTAAATTTTTCTCTGGAGTCTTTTTTTTTTCTGCCAAGGGCATGTAGATATGTATAAACTTCAAAACAATAAGTATCTAGGTGATGGCTCTTTATTGCCTGCTCCTTTCCCACTCTCTTTTAGATCTTTCTGAACGTGAATTATACTTTATCTTTCAACGATATATAATGTATCATAATTGTAAAAGCCACAAATATATTCTTGGTCCAAGAAAGCTAATGGGCAAAGTAAATACACTGTAAGTAACAGCAGCAAACGTTATTGTTGCATTCAAATAGTCATGATTATAATGTGATAAGGGGAATATAGTTTCATTGATAGACTCTGAAATTGAATTTCTTCCTTAAAGGACAAAGTAATTTAATTTTCAAAAAAAAAGTTGAATTTAATTAGGTAAGAACCAATCATCTGTTTTAGCAGATCCATTGACTTTTATTTTATTTTTCTTTTATTCACTATTGCACGTATAAGTGGAAGTTATTGCAGTTTCCAGTTTTAGTTTGAACATGACAAAGATGCAGGATCTAGTTCAATAAAACATTGAATTCCTTGTCACACACACACACACACGCGCGCACACACACGTGCGCACACACATTAGGAATGGCTAATTTGAACTATTTATGTTTTTCCTCAAATACTTGGCGTAAGTTCATGCATACTTGGTGTGTATATGCTGAACACACTTAGAAATATGTACTCGACTAATTTTTTTTATGAACTCATTTATTATAATCACCATGTAGAGCAATATATTCTTGCGTGTAATCTCTCAGCCTCATGAAACATCTGTAAACATTTTGCCAACATGTGGTTCCTGTCTCTTCTACTCCCCATCTCCCACCAACTTCTACTCTCAGGCAGCTGCTTTCTATTCTCTGCTTCCCTGTGTTTAACACCTTCAGATCCCATGAAACAAGATCATGTGGTGCTTGTCTTTCCACACCTGTCACATTTCAGCCATATAATTACAAATGACTGGATCTTGTTTTTAATTCATTGTTTACGTCATTTTATATGTATCGCATTTTCTCTACCCATTTGTTCATTGATGCATACTCCCGTTGATCACTGTGTTTTTATCATTGGATCTTTCATCTATCCTTTCCCACCAGCAACCATGCCCATCACAGATGTACGTGAAATATCAAAGCTTCCTCCAAACACTTTGGCTAACACTTTCACTTGACAACTTTCCTCATGCCACTCTTCAAACATAAATCCCCATATGCTCATGCATGTATCAGTAGTCTTACTTGCTTTGAGAAGCATTGTGATTCTGAATTCTTCTGTTTCTCTATGAACTTATAAAACTTCCAAAAACGCAGTGCATTTTACCTCTAAATGCTCAAGCAATCTACCCCCAATGCTGAAGGCTTCCTTGAAACCTCAACTGTTAGTTTAATTAAAGGTCCAACAAGTCGCAGAACTGGTGTCAGATCCTAAATCTGCTGACTCATTCATTGTCCACTAGATTTTCAATTTCTGTTATACATTTCAAGTTTCACTTTGGACATTATTACTTCCTGCTTTTCCAATTCCCTAATCTTTTAAATATTTGTAAGATATTTTTCCTATATGCTGTGAACAGTTTCTGCCATTAACAGAATAATGATTTCATTATCTTTTTCTGATTCCTTTTGTTTATGTCCACCAGAATTGTAATTTCCTTAAGGGAAAATGCTATGAAACATTTATTCTGAAATCTACATAGTGAAGCATGGACCTTAGCACAGATAGGGGATTCATCAAATGTTTGTCAAATTAAGTTTAGTTAAATCGACATTCCGTCTAGACTTACTTGATGGAATAATGAATATAATATTACCAAGACAAAGGTTTGCTCTTATTAGCCATCAGAGATGGGTTGATGACCCTTTTAGAATGTTGTAACTAACTGGAACAGTGAACTCCAAACAGATGCTCAGCGGTAATGCCCAGCCCTTTCTTACATGAGTCTTGTGATAATTGTAAAAGTCTTGACATGAGTTTAGTTGGTAGCCACAATCGTCATCAGTCCCTACTGTCTTTTTAAAAATCCCAGAAATGAATGAATGAGATATTTATGCTAAGAAATATGGATCATTTTATTTGGATTGCATAATTACATTGATTGGAGGATTACTAAAGTTATTTTTTTCTAAGTTTGGACCTTTTCAAAGTAGATACACATCTAATTTGTTTTTAAAAAGCTTGTTTTGGCATGTTCTCTGTCTTTCACATGCTCTAGTCTGGCTACTTATCCCTGAAATTCTTTTTTGAATCTCTTTCAAATGGTTATGATTTTTTTTTTTTACTTTGTGCTGTTTGCTTATAATATGCTAATGAAATTAATACAAATACTAAATATTAACAATTTAGGGAATGGACTGTCAGCCTAAGCCAGGTATTGAATTACCTAGAGAACTGTGCAATCTCCAATGCACTCTCCAAAAATAGACATAAAATCAGCTTTTCTGGGGATAGATCAGAAAACAATTTTCATATTAACACTAGGTGTGAACAATCTGCATTATCATTTCAACATTTTGCTTCTGTTCTGTTTATGTTCTCTAAATTTTCAATTGCCAGTTGTAGTACCAGACACCAGGTATCTTAAAATGTTGTTGTTTCAAGTAATTCTTTGAAAGTCATGATTCAGGAACATACTTGTAAGTATCTTCACTAATTTGAGTGGCTTCCATACATTTCTAATATCTGGTCCATTTAGGTGTCCTTATTCTGGGAATGTATTAAAGCAAAGCATTGGAAGACACTTTTGACAATGTGAAAAGAGTCAAGTATTCCATATAGTTATTGAATAATGTTAGCTTTATTGTTGTAATAGAATACAATATGACATAAAATTAAGAGCTTTTGCTAAACTCTGTGAAGCAATACATGCATCTGCCATAAACAACCTTGACTCATGTTAGGTTTTATTGCCACTTCACTGCACTAAGTGCAATAAACATTCAATGTCATCTTAAAAAAATTTTCCTGGGAGTAAACAGGAACTGTCCCTCTATAAGAGTGTATCTTTATTTTCAAGGAAGACTTAGCTTGTGTTAACATGGTTTAGCAAAGCATTGTAGAAAAGCTACATAGAATAATCTTGTCTTTGATCAACTATGCAATCAATTTACATAACAGGATACTATCCACGTGTACTAACAAACCAAGAAATGATAAAATGCAGTCATTGCATAGCAGAAAGCGGACTATTAAGAAATATTCACATCTAATGAGCAAAATACATAACAAAAGTTATCCACAATGAGTCTGGGAGATAAAATGCTGTCAAGAAACACATTAGGTTAACGCCGAAAAAATAATAAGATAAACAGAAACATTGAAATCGGAACCATAATTTCTTTTATTTTCTATACATAGTATCTACACATGATACCAGAGGATGAAATGTCCTTGATTCGGCCTTTCTTGGCCTAGCTCATGAAATTCAGGCAGGACCAAAGCAAACAATAAAGGACATAGAAAAGGAAAAATGATGCTTTAGGTAAACACAGTGCCTTTTCCTATATCATTGGATGGTAGCTTTTTTTTGAGAAAAGCATTGCTCAAGGCATGAGTATGGATCCCAACTGTCTTATTTGGCAATTATGCTAACAAGTTTATGTTGTAGCGTTCTGTGGATTCTGAATGCTAAATTATCTGTGAAATTCTATCAAACAAAAGAAGACTTCAAAAATACCTTCTGCATATTTACCTCTACAACATCTGGGCAGTAATGGATCAGGCTAGAATTTTTATAGGGAATATTAATGATCCTCTTGTATTTAAAGCCCTTACATAGTATGCCTACAAATATATTGCTACAATATAAATGAAATGTAATCGTATTACTCAGTAAAAGCTATTTCCTGTACATCCGTTCATGTATTTGATATTTAATGCTACATATGGTACAGCACTTATTGAAATAGTTGGTGTCAGCAAATATAGCAATAATATACAGTTGATATTCTAGGTCCCATTTGTTTTCTATATTACAATAGCCTAACATAGGGAAATGTGGTGTGGCAGAACTTGAGCAGATAACCACTGATCTACTGTATATCAGGCAACCATTTGAAATGATAAGCTTTTTCTGCACATGGGGACCTCTTAACCATACAGTTTAAGTTCCATCTGATTCCTGCCAGCTGTTCTATTCTTAAATTCAGGCTCTAAATGTATTTCCATAGAATTTAATAACACTCTAGTAGGTGAGAGAGATGATTCCTATGCAGTGCTTTAGTAACAAAACTTTTTTTTTAAAAAGTAAAAATGTACAATCTCATGCTAAATATTTACATAATTTTAGTTTCTATTTTTGTTTGCTAATCATAAATTTCAATCTAAAACTTTAAGTGTCATTATACAAAAAATACATTCAACAATTCTATTCCTTGCAAAAATATTTTTGCCCCTCTAAAAACATCTTCACTTTGAGGATCAGGTGATGATTGGGCCAGTGTAATATCTGGGAACAGAGTGCAACACAATATTCTTAAACTATTTGTTTATGAATTTGCTTACTTATTAGCTTCTGTTAAGTGTATGTATTTGTCAAATTGAATCTTCCTTGAATCTAGCAGTAAAAGCTCAGAGGATAGCCAAGTAGCCTATTGAAAGCATTTTTTTTTTTTCCTACATTTGATTAAATGTCTTTAGTGAGCAACTGGAACATTACATATAAGATTTCCATGGATTTAAAAATAGCAGTTAACTAAAAACAATAAATTTGGGGCCTTTGAGAAGAGGAAATATGTTGTCTTTGGAAACAGAACATTAAAGCTATATATTAATTAAAAATCAAAACAACATTAGCACTTCATATTTCTGTAATATATATATTTTAAAAATTCTTCATTAAACATTTACAGTTTGTTCTTTTAAGCACTTTCACATAAAAATATTTTGACATATTCATTATTTTTAATAACATTTGGAAATATATATCTACAAATGACCTAGGGGCTCTAGCTAGGGTTTGTTTTGCTTCTACTTTTGTTTCTATCTTTGGACTCTCCTCCCTCCCTTTACATCTCTCCTTCTGTCGCCTTCTGACATGATTTTGTTCTCTCATTTCCTGTCTCAGAATCCTGTCTCCAGGTTGCATTTTCTGCTCTGCTCCAGACTGCCAGACAGGGGTCGCTTGTTCTTATGTGGATTATGGAAATAAGGGAACCTTCGGACTCTTTAAGACAGAGGCGATAAAGCAGACGGGAGTTACTGCATTGAGAATGGAAAGCATTTCCCAGTGCAGAGGACTGAACAACAGAATATAACTAAGAGGACCTATTGGTGTGGTGTGGGGGCTTTTAGCTGAGGCTCTCTGTTTAAATATGTAGCCCAATAGACCAAGTTGAAGATCCCAAATAGCAGTGGGAAGGCTATTCTTGACAGTCGGTCAATTTTGCTGACACTGTTAAAGGTTTTCTTGGGTTCTGGTGGTTTTGTTTCAGGCTTGACTTCTTTTGGTTCAATGGTTGCACTTTTAGCAATGGTGGCTAAGCCAGGGTCGCCCCTAGCCAAATTAGGGGTGTAGCTGGTTGCTGTTGGAGCATAAGTGTTGTTTTTCTTAATGAGAGGATCCTTCACTTTCTTTGGCTATAGAAGGGAAAAGCAAAAAATATCTTATTCAGTAAACTATGAGAAAAAAATTTTAAGTTGCTAAACAAAGTGACCTTACTTTGGAACTGTAAACTGAGCTTTATTTAAAAATCTAAGAAGTAATGTACATGAGTATCTTGTCAGGTCAGTTAAAATCCAGACCTTATTTTACAGACCAGGCTTGAAGAGATAGAGTTTATTTTCCCACTCAACATAAAATGGAGCTGTGACTTAGGCGGAATGATATCTGACATCCCAACTTTAAGAAACTTTCTGATTCGGTCTCTCCTTTCTGGAAACATAGTACTCCTGTGTCAAGAACCTGTATCTGATTACTGAATGACCAGAGAAGGCATGAAGTGAGCAAATTGATGGTAACATCAAGACTGGTCTTTCTCCACCCTCCAGTAGCCCAATCTTCTGAGGGATCCCAAGTCAGGCTCGCAGAAGCCTATTTTAACTGAGAACTCATTTCTTTCACTTTTTAGAAATATATTTCACTTTTTAGAAATATATTGATTGAAGTTATTTGAAAGGCTGACATGGCTAGTGGGCTTCCTAGGCAGCATCTAAAACTGCACCAAATGCCCATTCCTGTTTATGCTTTTTAAATGGGACTAGAAAATTTAAAAAATTATGTATATTCTTCACATTTGTGGCTGAAAGTATATATTCAAAATTACGTATATGGTTCATACTGGGGGCTAATAGTCTAAGCAATACGCATCTAGGAAAGTGGTGTTATTCTTTCATGCACATTGAATCATAAAAATGTCTACTTTGAAAAAAGAAAATGCACCTTCTGTTGACTTCACTGATCACTGATGATAGCTAATTTTTGCAAATTCAGTTAAATTGAAGGATCATATACTTAAGTATTTGACCAAATATTAGAAAACAACTAAAACACAATTTTTAAGTTTGAAAAACTGTAATGTACTTGGTAAATAGTGGAATTGAGTCATTTTATATGCTCCTTATGCTTTGCTTATGTTTACATCATAAATGTTCTCAAATCCATAGAAAGCACATTGAAATAGAAATTTTTTTATCTGCTCTGTGCCTCCTTCACTCTACTCTGCATTTGTATTCACCAAAACAGGCTGTCTCTTTAGCAGTAACGAAGTTATTTTTGCCACTTAATCATATATGAAGAAATAAAAAATAAGATAATCTTCAGTACTCTTCTTCATTTAATTCTCCAGGCCCAGATATTTCATCTCAGAGGCTTAAGCAGAGTTAATACTGATATATCAAAGAAACTGTTAAAGCATTTACCTTCTCGGGAACCACACTTTTCCCATCCCATGCATAGCCTCGCTTGGTGAAATAGTTCACTGTGGCAAATTCAATCAGAGCTGAGAATACAAAGGCATAGCACACCGCAATAAACCAATCCATTGCTGTTGCATAAGCCACCTTAGGGAGGGAATTTCTGGCACTAATGCTCAAAGTTGTCATTGTCAGCACTGTCGTTACTCCTGGAAGGAGAAAAATTAAGTGAATGTAGGGTTCATATCACATAATTTCATCATTGCACACCAGCCTAGTTGAACAGAGGAAAATTATACTGCGTGCAAAATTTGGTTTCCAGTTCATCTCATTGGGGGATGAATGAGAATCAAACATACACTGATTTTTGTTCCATTCCCCATGTTTTTTTAGGTACATTTAAATCAAGTTCTATATAGCTTGTTTCAGTCCATACAGCGAAATAACAAAATTGAAATCTGAAGGCAGATTTTTCTGACTTAAATGTTTGCTATCTTTCTCATTCTTCTAATATTGCGCCATCTTACTTTCTCTGAAATTCCTCCTGAAGAACCTTCATTCAAAGCGATGTTCAAGGAAATCCTTTTTTACTTTTCTAAGATACTGGTATGAGTTGGTTTGTGAGAGGTGATGTTCTTTAATACTTATTTAACCAATCAAAGCTGTCATTGTATCATATGGCAGTATTATGCTGGGAAGAAGAATTGTGTAAGGTTTCTAGTAAGTTCTGTAAACACAGGGAGAAAACAGTTCACCAGCTGGGCCAGGCTACATGCCATGAAAACAATCCTCATCTCTTCTACCGACTCATTGCAGCTTCAGTGAAGTAAACTACTTTGAGAGAACCTCATTCACTGTGGTTGTAAAAGGAATGATTAGTCCTGCATTTTCACTGTTGCTTCTGGCTGGCCCCTCACAAGATTATTATAAGGATTAAATGCAGTAATGCACAAAAGCATGCTAAATATTATAACTTAGTGGTATGGATGACATTGTCTTTCTATGTATCTAACACTCATATATGACTCCCCCTTTTGATTAATTTTAAGAAGTCAGTAGGTTCACACATCTAGTAGGTATAAGTTGCTTTCAGGCAACCATGAATTGCAAGGTTTCAGGAAGTGACGTGATCAAGAAGAATCACTGTGAAACTTTTATTAAATTGTATTTTGGACACAGATCAGGGTTGTAGAAAGTGAAGTCATTTTGAGCTTTGGAGTTATTACTGGAAGTTCTGGGGGAATCCTTCTTATTAACCAGCCAACAATTGGTTTAAGAAATATTGCTGGAAAACTGCCCCCAATTTTACATATCGATATTAACTTGAGCAAATAACAAGGTAATTAAAAGTCAGTATTTGGAGAACAGAGTAACCCAGTTTCAAATCCCATTTTTATAACTGCTGAATGACCTTGGGGAAATTGCTTCTCAATCCTGAGCTTTGGTTTTATTTTTAAGAAGTTTTTTCCTTCTAAACTAATTTTAATAACAAACTCAGAGGGCTGTTGTAAGTATTAAACGAGATTAGCATTCATACCATACAGTATTTAATTCTTAGACTGATAACTGTTTAGGGTGAAATTAATGACTTATTTTTGATAACTTCAATCTGCTTTTTCATAGGTCCCTACTATAAGGAATTCCATTTTTCTCAAAATTTAGTTTATGTAGGTAACTATCAGAAGTAATTTGAGAATGGATACTTAAAAAAATTATTAATCCATTTGATAGCCTTATATAGAAAGGGAGAGTGAGAGAGAGGTCTTCCATTGACTGGTTCATAGCCCAAAAGGCCTCCATGACCAAGACTGCACCAGGCTGAAACTAGGAGTCAGAAGCTCCATCTGCATCTCTCTCATGAGTACCAGAATCATTTAACATTTCACTGCTTTGCCCAGGCCATTAGCAGGGAGTTTGACAAGTAGTGGAGCAGTTGGGATGCAAACTGGAGCCTGTATAAGGTGCTGCATTGCAAGTGACTGATTGGTAACACCAAACCACTGACCAGGGAGTGGTTATTCTTTATTCACATGCATGCATACATTTAGGAACAGTTAAGAATAACATCAAAGGGGGGTGTTTGTGTATGTGCGATGTTTAACAATTCCAGGTGTAAGGAAAGGGCAAGGTATAATATGTGCTAAACAGCAATTAAATCCCACATACCTAGTCTGACAATTTATTTTTCATTTAATTATCTTAAAAAACACTACTGCACTTTATTTGTATTCATATTTGGCAGGCAACTGAAATGTAAAAAAAAAAATCAGGTAAATGGTTGTAAAATTTAGATCTTGCCATGTTGGCATTGCAGCAAATCCCCATGACAACATTACTGCAAACTAGAAAAACCATACAAGGCTAAGAAAATGATCTTTTATAGCATAAAATTTACTTCAGCTTTGTTGCATTCTGGATGCATCTGAAGAAACCGTTATAAAGTACAACGTGTGTGTGTGTGTGTGTGTGTGTGTGTGTGTGTGTGTGTGTTTGTGTTTCTTTAAATATTTTTATATACCTGTGATTCTCTGAGACATTTACCGAACTCAGAAAATGTGCCATGTTCAGACTAAAACCAATAGAAACATGTGCTCTAACTAAATGTTAAAAGGCTAAAGGTCTAGGAGAATTGTATTTGTGCTTTTGATTGAATCTAACACTTTGGAGACATGTAACTTGAACACAGAAACACTTGCCACCACTGAGTTTACAAATATACAGTTGTGTTCACCAAAAGGGCAGAAGTCAATCGACTCACAAGATTGTGGAAAATATTATGAACAATGTTTTGACTTAAAAATCTCCTAAAATTATTTAGAGAATTTCAATGTAGTGAAGATTTGTTAGAGAGGAGAGGAAGTTATCATTGAAATAAACGACAGTGTCACTATAGTGCTAGGCAATTTTAACAAGGTAAAGGAGGAATACTGAGCTGCCCATGTTTTAAAATTTTCATTTCCCGGTGAGTGAAGGTCTCAAATGTCGTTCACATATAGAAGTAAGCACCTCCGTGAGCTTCAGTCTTTTGTAACATTTGTGCTGGTTCACAACCACGACGCTAGTTAGTAAAAATTACTTGCAACGAAATGTCCTTTGGCTTTGCAGCTGGAATCATTGCGGATCTTAACTGAACTCTACTTAGTCTGCTCTCAGAATAAAGATTTGGTGTTTTTCAATTTGGAACCACTTTCCAAAATTTGGGGCATTTATACTGGACTCTTGCTTTTTTTTCTGAAATAACTGATAACCTTGCATATTACTGAAGGATGTTACCAAGGGAATCTCTGCACATGAATAATCCTCAGATTAGATTTTAAGCTTCTTAAGGCTTTTATCCTTTAGCGTAAGGACTTAAACCCAGCAAGGGCCTAGTTGGTATTTATGGAATGAACCTTGGTGATTATACTTTTCTCCAGTAAATATGTGTTTCTTATTTTCAAATAAATGGCATTGTCCATAACAACCCATGGCTTGTCATGATAGCAGAATAATACAATGATAAGCTAGCATAATCATTAAGAGCACACACCCTAAGCTAAGTGCTTAAATTCTACTCCAGAAGCTTCAGGAAGAACTTCTGACCTTGGGCAGGTGTCAATGTCTTATTCCTTAACTTTCACTTTTATAAAATGAGATAATAAATATAAATAGACTTTTTTAGGATTAATTAGGACAGTATAGGACAGTTGCACAGAACAGTGTTGGCACAGAACTACTCAATACATATTATCTATGATGATAATGATTATTCTGATTTCAACCTGAATAATATAACCTTCAAAGGGCAGTGGTTTATTAGTTCACTAATGGTTTCTTTACCTAGAACACAGTAGTAGTCTCTAATGTTGGTAAGTTAAAAAATGAATAGAATAAGCGAATCAATACATTTATTTTAGTGGAATCTTTAACTTTTATTAATCTGAAAAGTACAGTTGAGATTGTATATTTATATCCAGAATATACATGTGCTACTTTATGAACTGTAATACATGAAGAAGTAAGTTTTCCCACTGGTAAACAGTTGTCCATTTAAACAATTGTCCATTAGTTTGCCTTAGTGGAACCAATGTAGAATAGCTAAAATATTTTAAAAGACAAATGTAGGTGAGCACTTCAAAGATATCTTGGAAATAGGAATCAGAACATAAGTTTATTTGGGCAAAAAAAAATTTAAACTCCATGTATAGTGGTTTTATTTTTGTAACATAGATTATTATAAACGGTTTGGAAGACCTCTTATATAAGTAAATCTAAAATGTTTGTTGCACCAAATAAACTTAACACTTAAATTCATTTTCCATGAACCATTTGGAGTACACTCATATTTGCAAATATTAAGGTTTGTATATCTTTGGGAATGTGAGATATTCCTGTACTGATGCAGTACTCATTAATCTCTCTTTACTAAAACAAGCCATGTTACTCTGTATATAACGAGGCAGTTTTGCTGATATTTTCTAAAATCCTGAAAAAGATGTAGTGATGGTTATCATTTATTCTAAATGCAAGCTTTAAATGTGAAGGTTTTATAGGTGTGTTTTTAATCTGGTACAATTCATTTTATGCCTTTTCAACCACTTTTTATTCTCAAAATTCAAATCTAATACACACTAATTGCATGTATTCATATACACTAAAGTAGCTTGCTAATTTTTCAGATCATCCCATGATGAAAATGGTAATGGGAATTATCCATGGTACTAACTTCATATTCAAATGTATAATGCCTCTTTACATTCTTTGCAATGTCACAGACATTTGCCCTTCAGACATTGAGTGCATGTCGTGATTGACACTTACCAAAGACAGTTCTTGCTGGTACAGACTCTCTGTTAAGCCAGAAAGAGACTTGTGAGAGAATAACTGTCATTATGCATGGCAGGTACGTTTGAATAACAAAATAGCCAATCTTTCTCTTCAAGTGGAAATGAGTGGTCATAACAACATATTCTCCTAGAGGATGAGACACAGAGCAAGGTTGAGCAATTTGACCTTGAAAAGAAGTCACTTCTGAGATTTTTCTGTGAGCATCAAAGAAGTGAAAGTTAGACATATTCGTTTTATGTAAAAAAAAAAAAAAATCCAACTCCTAGAGAGGAAAGCTTTTGTTCAAGAAACAAAACAACATTTTTTTTGACAGACGCAAAATGACTGCTGGGAAGAATCTGAGGTGCTACAGTCCTCACAGATATTCTTACTCTCTGATCTTGGTCCATCATTTATTTAAGGGACAGATCTGGACATATATTTACATATTGATATTATGGTCCACAAAAGCAGTATACTAGATCTTGCAAACTACATTATTAGTTCAAAAAGAGACTAGATCCCCCCATGTGTCCATCACAGTGCAAGTTCAGACAATCTACTGGCGCAATCAGGACAGCCAAATTCTAATTCCAACACGTACCCTCTGTCATCTGCAACTTTATCGTTTAGCTTGGTCTGCACTCCAAAATGTGGAGTGTGTACTAAAATCTATTGATTCTCAAATTGTATTTCCCAGAATCATCTTGGGAGCTTTTGAAAGATGTAGGTCTTCATATGCCACATGGGTTCACAAACCATTCTTCAAATGGTTGGGGAAATGTGTATTTATAATGAGTTTTTGAACATGTCCCAGTTCTTAGCTGGTTTGGGAAGCTGCTCTTGTAAAGCTCTCTTCATGGTCTTTACGTACTACCAATCAGCCCTTTTTTTTTTCGTATTCTAGTTTCTCAGTTATACATCATAGAATTTTTCAGTCTGAATCACTCAGAATTTATGCTTAGCAGCCTGTGGGTGGGTAGGAGAAAATAGACATGTTCTAGATAGGAAAGCATCACTCTATTTAGAATACTTGTTTCTCCAAACTGCTCTGTCCTTTTTCCTCCACACTTCTCTCTATACAACCTTTTAATTTTTTTTTTTCTAATCTCAGCCCATTGTCATGTCATCTGACTTCAGCCCCCAGAATGTAACTGCAACTGTTCAGGACTCCTCCATTTCCATAACTAAATCTGTTTTCTTTGGTTTCATGCAAGCTGTTCACCTTGATAACACCGTTAAGTATTAACCATCTGTACTCTTCTTGATAGCACACTCTTTATTCCCATCTTCTTTCATATCTTTTTCAACTTCTTTTGCTAGCTCACTGATTATTTCCATCAGACATCACTTATTGAGCTTTTTCTATCAACTGGGCACTCCAATTCCCCTTTCTTCAGAGATTTTGTAGACATTTTGCTGCATAGAAATCAGAGTATTCCTATTCTCAAGTCTCCTCTCTGGCTGCCCTTGACTCTAACAAGGAGCTCCGCATCGCACTCCTGCTCCTAATTTTATCTTTATGCAGCTGCACAGATATTTGTCCAATCTCTGTTTGTAAATGAGCTCTTTCTCAACATAAAATCCTAAATTTCCAAACACAAACTAGAGTAGACTGGTTTTATAGATATTAAATTCTCACTGATCCCTCCAACTGTGTTCCAAACTCATATTGTCTTTTGCTACAGAAAAATGACCAGCACATGGCACTGCTGGTTCTGCAAACGCATAGTTTTATAACTCAATGACATATCATCTGTCAAGTTGCTCAGACTAAAAACCTACAATTAATTAATCCTTACCTATTAGGATGTATTTGGGATAAGAAGGGAAGGAATCAGTTGATTATTTCAATCTAAATTTTTTTCCTGTGCAGTGTCATTTTGTCTTAAAAAGAAATTTTGATTCGGCTTTGGTAGCAAATGAATTTGAATCAAAACCTGGATATATTAATTTCTTGATAGGTAGCATGGAGCAATACAAGTAAACTCTCTGATATTCATGTTTAAAATACTAAGATATATAAGATAACTAAAGAATAATGACTCTAATTAAGATGATACAACATAAACCTTTTCATTTTTTTTTGTTGTTGTTGTTTCTTTTCCTCAATTTCTTCACACTTCTTGCCAATTAGAATTGGTGTAAGCATTGGTAGAAGAAACACCCTGACTGTCCAGCAGGAAACCATCCAGGAATTTGTTTTTAATTGCTATTAGTAGCACCTGCCATTTACCGAGCACTTATGTGCCTTATTTATAGCTTTAGCTTTTTCATGTTCACGATAAGCTCTCATACTTTGCATTTTAGTTGTTTTTATGTTTATATCTGTTCCACCAAACCAGAGGCTAACTGAGAAGGCTGGTCCTTGGCTGAAAGTGAATATAAAGAAACTCAAGTAGGCTCAATTAAAGAGCAAATTCATAAGCTTCTCTTTTTCAAAGGTTAAACATGTGACATTTAACGGTGTCTTCAATGTCATTTGAAACCATAAGAAGCAATCCAAGTTAGAAAGCAGAGCAGAAAAACAGTTTTCCAGAGTTATACTAAAATACAACCTTATGTGGATATATGCATGTTACATTTCATCATCCTAGGTGTGCGCATTATTATTCCTAACCATTTATTCAGTAGTGGCTTGCAAAATGTCACCAACTCAAAGGAAAAATGCCATCTTTTATACAATGTCAGAAAGAGGATTGTCTAGTTCTGTTCCATTATCTTTTGTTGTTCGCAATGCGACTTCTTTTGTGGAGATTCTTTAAAGAATACTGTTTTAAGACATCTAAAGAGTTATTATTTAGCATTATATTTGTTTTATAACAAACTCATTCCTGAACAGCTTAAGAAAAGCATATAAGCATTTTCAACATTTTAAAACGTTTTCCCTAATCTGAAAAGGGTTGGCTCGGAAGTTTTTTTTTTTAATTATTAATTGCATTGCATTATGTGACAAGCTCAGAAGTTTGAAATAAGGAAAAGAAATAGCGAGAACGTCAGAATTATGTTGCAATAGTTTAAAAATGAAAGAAAAACAACAACAACAAAAAACAAGTCTTGTAAATTGGATAGAAAGAGTATGTGTATGCACTGAGCATGTAAAATTCCTTCTCTCTAATTCAACAGTCTGAAAGAATTGGAATCCAGAGACCCTTGCACATCATAAGAGTCCTGAGGGAAGCTTGTGACAATATCCCTGATAAATTATAATGCAAAACTAAGATGAGTGAAAGAAAAGAAGCAATGGCATAATTTTCCAAATCAGCATCAGCAGTTTGTTTCGTACTGGTTTCCAAGCTTAGCTTTCTCAAATGCTAGTTACCTGAAGGAAAACACTTTGCCAAACTTTATTCAACTTCAGTTTTCAGATTTGCCAAAGTAATATCACAGCGCTTAACTGTGCCTTAAGGCATTATCAGTATAAAATTAAATGTGAAAAAATAATTTAGAAATTAAAATGTTATGAAGATTTATAGGGAAAAAATTGATGTTTTTACCTTCTTCAGATAGGCAATTAACCATTGAGTAATTCAGCAAAATTGTAGTGAACATTGATTCTTAATGAAGCTGTCCTATTCAAAAAGATGTTCTAAATTCCTAGTTTTATGTGAATGCTATCATGTTAAGACAAAGCATATATGAAAACAGTAATAAGGGAAGGATAGGGCCCCGGTGGCGTGGCCTAGCGGCTAAAGTCCTTGTCTTGAATGTGCCGGAGTCCCAATGGGTGCAGGTTCTAATCCCGGCAGCTTCACTTCCCATCCAGCTCCCTGCTTGTGGCCTGGGAAAGCAGTCGAGGACGGCCCAAAGCCTTGGGACCCTGCACCCCCGTGGGAGACCCGGAAGAAGTTCCTGGATCCTGGCTTTGGATCGGCATAGCATAGTTGTACTCACTTCTGGAGTGAGTCATCGGATGGAAGATCTTCCTCTCTGTCTCTCCTCCTCTCTGTATATCTGCCTTTCCAATAAATAAATAAAATCTTAAAAAAAGAAATAAGGGAAGAATAGTCATACAGTGATAGTTAAAAGGCTAGTGAAATGGGAGCAAGAAAATATTGTTATGTTCTAGCCACTTATCCTCTCTTGTACTCTCCTGAATTGAGACGGGAATCCTTTGGCCAGATGAACACAGAGGGGTTTTTGTTGGTTTTGATTTTCTTTTTCTTCTTTCCTGCCTGTTTTCCTTCCATCCATTCTCCCTTCCTTTCTGCCAGATCTTGCAGTTCATGATTATAAATACTTTTCTTGAAATCTTATACCAGGTTTTATTGATAAACATATTGGGGTTAATTCAATGCTCATTGTCAGTATCATTTCATCCAGACTCAACAGATGATTTTCTAACTATTTTGACTTTGCAGTGTCATCCATAAACCAACTGATTCAAAGAGAAGTCTATCTCCTTGACAGAATTCCCTAATATCTCTTATGCATCTGTGTGAAGGAGTAACAATAGTTATTCAGAAGAAGCATTCTTAGTCATCAAGCTAATTTAGATTTCTGGTAATCAAATTCCCTAGATAAACATAGAGACTTTCCTGTCATCACTGTGTGTTTTATGACCAGTATGTTATCACATTCTTACTTTCTGCACACTGATATTCACAAGCCTAAATGTTCATTTGACTATTTATCTTGTATCAAACACGTTTCATATTCTCTAATCACTATTGCATTTTTGCACAACTCTCCTTAAAGAATTACATAGAAGGTGGAAAGAGACAGAGAACAATGCCTGAAATAAAATTCTAAATTCCCTTTCCTTTTCCGTCAGGAAGACATATCTTCTTTCTCCTTTATGCCATCAGTAACTCTTGTAATAGCTTCAATATCATTACTGATTGTAATGCCTGTTCTTTATTGTGTGTGTGTGTGTGTGTGGGTTTTTTTGTGTGTGTGTGTAACACATTCATTGTTCTTCTAAGGAGCTTGCTTGCATTTCAGTATTGCATTAGCTCATGAAGGAGAAATATGAGAAAAAAGGAACAGAGCACTGAAACATTTACCACAAGTCATGTAACTAATTAGTAGTATGACAAGTGTTAAGCCATTGTGGTTCAACTACGGAATCCACGTTAGAAGGGCATATGCTCACCCATCTCAACTGTCTGTGTTACCTGTGTTACCGAAGTTTGCTTTGCAGCTGAGAGCACAGACTTACATCCAAATCCCAGCTCTGCTGTTTCCCAGGAGTAAGACCTTGGAAAAATGGTGAAAAATCTCTGACATATATCCCATCTGTAAATTAGATACAGTAATTGTACCTGTATCTGAAGATTTTTTTTTTTCAATTTGAAAATGAAATCAGTGCCAATACAGTCTAACTACTAATCTTACTCAGCCATTAGTTTATTTATGGCTGTGTGCCTTCATTGCTCTTTACCATTTTCAATCACAGTGTCAGACATAGCAAATAAACAAGATATTCATGGAGTAAATGAACGAACTGTGACATACTTAGCTTTGAAAGCAAATTGGACTAATTCTTCATACCAGTAATGGTTTTATTCTGTGAATTGATTAAATTTTCTTCAAACTAAGGCTGAAAATAATTTCTTTTCTTAAATGTTGCCGGTTGCCAAGAAGGTATTGTGTCATACACTGAACCAAAACATCCAAGTACTGTGAAGTCATTCCTCTGTCGCACCGGAATGATGTAGAAGTATTTTGAACTGAAACAGGTCTCTGAGCTTCTGTATTTGTATAATGACAAGCTGTTGGTGATGGGTAAGCAGGACATCATCTTTTAACCTTGTAAGAGGGGTCTGAATTGATTAGCTCCCCCAAAGAATTTTGAGATGGAAGAAGAGGCCTTTTATCTGGTAGTTTTTTTTTTATGTGTGTGCACTATTATTCTGTATCTCTGACAGAACAAGAATGTGGTAATGGTCAGTGGAAATTATATAAATTTTTCCAAGACTCTACAAAGAGACATGAAATTTAGTATTAAATACCATACATAACAACCAAGAAGCTTCCTTAGCTGCTAAAATGTACACCGAAAAAAGTGCAGTTCATGATCTGATTGTGAAGTAGAAAATATACCTGAGAATGAGCTTCCATATTTGAGAATTTGCCTTATTCTAATCTCTCCTAATATTCTGAGGGATGATAGAATAAAACTCTTATTTTGAACAGACTTGTGGCTGTAGCACGGAATGTCCACATATGACCTCATGTGTGAGATCTAGCAAGCTTGAGGGAAGTGAATAGGTCACTTCCCATTATCATTTTGTTGACTGTGAAATGTTTTTGTTACTAACTAGAGAGTAAACAGGCTGAATCCTCCGGAAGCCAAGGGCAGTAAGTTCTCCCCAGTTCTCCTGACTAAGCACTCATTTAGAAGGCACGAGACCCGAAGCTAAAAATGTTTAGCGTGACATGGTCAATGCCAAGAACTAGAAGGAAGTCCCTTTTTCCTATGAACAACCTTCAAGACTTGCATTTATTCCTTCTATGTTATGCACATTCCTGCATTTGAGTTGTCTCCCTGACATCCTCTGACTTCCTCTCCAATAATAACAGGTGAAGATTTTCTTGAGCAAAGAATCTGTGTGCATAATTCTCAATGTCCTGACCAAGGACAGTGATGAGTTGGCCCCTGACAAAATTTAGACTAACCAAATAAACAGTCAAACCCCCTGCAGTCCCTTCTCAATTGTCCTGTCCTGGAATCATCTTATTATTCAAACATTAAAAATAATTATTTTGTTACTATGTTCAGCTACTATAGAAAATAGAGTAGAAAAAGAAGAAACAGTCACTGCCCTCACAATGATTTATGGTTGATATGCTCATCATTTTTTAGACTTCATATGTCAACAGAGTAAGATTCATATCTTGTCTTTCACTGAATCTCCAGTGCCTACTACAATGCACAGTTTATAACAGCACTCAATTTATAAAGAGTAATTGCAGCTCACTTCAATATCCTCTCCAGAAGATTCTGTATGGCAGAACACACCCAGCATCCTGCATGTTTCAGGATATTTTCAGTAACTGCTACATGATATTCTGCTGTGCTTTACACTTCTTCGTCTTTAATGTAAAATTATTATTATAGCTCCTTAAATAAGATCAGGCTTCTAGTCAGACAAATGAATTTTCTAAAACTCAGAAGCTTTCTAATTAATAGCACCAGGGCTTCAGTTCCCATTTTTCTGACTACAAAGCCTACCATCTTTCTATTATGCCGTGAGCATTTATAGTAATGGCAAATCTAGGGGAAAATCTTTTCCATTTGTCAAAACAGTAAGAATATCTCCTATCATTCAAGAATAATTTAAAAATCTGGTCTTTGGGAAGTATAAATTTTCTGTTAAGAGTCTGGTCTTCAGTTCAAATTCTCTAACATACGGATCCTAATTCTGGTAATAGTATATACATTTGAACAATTTCAAATACTGTGGCCTAATTCTTTAAAGCTATCTGATACTGTTATTTGCATATCGTTATTAAAGCAATCACAGCACTGAAGATGATGCAATTTCATTTACTTTTTACACTAATAATTAATATTTACTGTCATAAAACTCTTAGTCTTATATGCCAAAGAGCATATAATCTTATGCCAGAAGACTGAATCTTGAAATATGTCCCCAAAAGCCCTTCTATATTACAGTTGTGTTTTAGGGTTGAAAATTACATTCTGGTAAGATGAGATTTGGTATAAGATTAAAAAGTATCTTGGGAATGTCTCTTACAAATTATTAATCATTAAAGATAATTTCTAGTATACATCCTCAGTATATGTATTTTATGTCTAAATTATGCTTGTTTCTAACATAGTAATATATTCTAATGTGTCCTGAAACTTCTATAAAGAAGAGATTTAAATGGCAGAAAATAAATGAAAAATTAATTTAATTTAATTTCCAAAATTTAAGTGGCTAGCTGTGTAGCCATCTTTCTGTTGAGTTTAAGGGTGGGAGATTCTCAGCCAGAGATACACATGAATTTGTAGAGGAATGGGCCTTTTGATGTGTGAGAAATACTGCTACAACTTCTATGGAGACTTCTTGATGCATGGAAATAAAGGAGGTCTAGATAGTATTAGTTGCTAGCTTTACGAAAGCCTCTTCTTGGTCAGGAGATGTGACAAGTAATCTTTATGCATCTAATGCACTAATGTCTGTGATTGACTAACGAGCAGAAAGATAAAGATCTAACTCAAACATTCAACCCCAAGCATTCACATCTTTTGTGTTACACTAATCACATGGAGTCAGCGTCTTTCTTTAAAAACAGAAGCAAAAATCCAGTGAGAGTCTAAGACCACGTATCTACAATTTACCTTCTCACTCAAATGATTAATGCAGTTTTCCCTCTGTGTTAGCAAAGAACCAAATGAGTTCTCACACTCTCAAAAATATCTGGAGAATCACACAACACTTGCCTGTACTGGACTGAACAATTCCAGAGTCCACTGTTTGTCCAAGAAGGTCATACTGGTTAAGGCGTGACCCGTCTTCTGCTACAACCACCGACCGTGCTGGCTCTCTGGTCCACTCATAAACAACCTCTGCTCTTGTGTAAGCATCTATAAGGAAAGTACAGAAAATTACCCACTCATTTTCACAATTACCTTCTTCTGATTTGTTGGTATGTTTCATCACCTTTATATTTCTGTCTCATGGTTTTAGAGAGTGAATTAGAAAAATCCATTTTCCTTAATTTTGAGAAGTTAAATCATGTTTTCCTGTTTCAATCATTTGTATACTTTTCTAACAAGTGGTTTTTAAACATCAGTGAACGACAAAGCCACTGTATTGAGGACACAGTAGTGACTGTCGCAAATAAGGCCCTTGATCTTAGAGACCATTCATTGTATTGATGGACCAACTTGCCCAGACTGAATACAAGGGGGAAGTGGAGAGAGGTCCAATAGTGTGGACTCACATATTAGTGAGCCAGAAACAGTTAATCAGAAACATGATTTTAAGAAACACAAACACCAGAAATTTTGCTGTACATTCATTTGTATGAATTTCCTCCATTTTCTATTGATGATATTTCTCATCAATACTTATTTGTAATGATTATGGAGGCAAGTAACATTATATGGATTTTCTTCTTAAACATTTTTATTTGTCATGTCACTTTTAACCAAGCTGTTTTCTATAAAAGACATTCGGTAAATAACCTCGATCTTAAGTTAATGCAGACTAGAAGAGAACAGTGCAGAATGTGACAGGGAAATTAAGGAGGTAGAATACCATAGCTTTGAATAATTTCTATTTACACAGTTTTAGCTATAAAACATTGATTTTATTTCATTTTGAATGATAGTAGATGTTCTCCAATAATTATATACAGAGTGGTGTTTAAAATTTAAGGAATATCACGCTAGATTAAAACCAAATTATTTTTAGGGTTTCTCAGTGGGAATCCTGTTAGCAAACATTGCTTTTGTTGTTGTTACTAAATCTTTGGCGAGTGGCCAACTTCTTCATCAGGTACAGTGGCACGGAGCCCAGGACCTACTATAATTTTAGGAGGACATGAACATGCTTTAATTTTTTAAATGGGAAGATAAATTGAATATAATCTAACTTGGACTATATTCATCTTTATACCAACACAGTCATAAATATAACCTATTTTACTAAGAATTGGCTCAAAAATACAGAAGTGTCTAGAATATGAAAATTTTACATAGCTTTTCCTGACTCAAAATCCTAACCATATGTAAGTAGCTTTGGATATTGTGTCTAATGAAATATATATTATGACAAAACTATGCATATACTTAGGTAATTTTTGTATCAAAATAAATTCATCTGTCAACACCATTTTTTCACAATAAAGCATACCCATATTCTCCCAGGTTGAAATGAGCTGTAGAATTATTTTTACATGAAAATAAGGCTATCTGAAAAAAAAAATTGATATGACACACATCCTCCACCTCTGCATATGAACTTCTTAAGGAGATTTCTTTTTCCTGAGGTGAGGGGTATAGAACAATGTGTCAATGTTCCAGGATTTTTTCTAAGTATCTTGTACTTCAGCTTCACTTCTGGACTCTATTATGTTCATGTATCACTGTAAAGCCATTTTTTCTAAAAGTTTGAAAGAATAAACTAGAAACTACCTGGGTCATTCATCGGAGGCAGGGAAGTGACAGACAAATAACCTGAAATTTGCCCTTATTGGCCCTTCTTTTGTAATTTTCGATTGTCCTCATTGATTTAGAAAGCAAAATAAAGCCTGTCAAGCATCGCACATGGTAGGATAATTGCATGTTTAGAAAGTGTTAGATTTTGTTTTACAATAATATTTTATTTAATCTCTTAGAAGAGACTGAGGCATAGTAAGTTTAGTAGGATGATTGGGTATATACCCATAATGATAAATTCTGCCTTTAAATGGACTTGTGTTACCTAAGAAAATGCACTGAATTTGTGCTGGCACAGGATGATTGAATGGTCAATAGAGGTAAAGACCTACAGTTTAATTGTGTTTTACAGATGCTAAACTAAGACACAGAACACTATACCCACTTTTTGGTGGGAAAACTGAGACTAAAAACTCATGATGCTCTTTATTCTACTCCATGGTTGTTTGCATTTTACAGGCAAAATCTGTGTATTACATGCCCCTAAAACAAGTACAGACACTTAGTGGTCATGTCATTAGTGATGAAAACAATTCCAGATCTACATCATTTTACAGCAAACTGAGCCTCATGCTGCTATATTGTACTGCTGTTAACCACAGTGTGGGAACACTTATTTTTCCGTCTTCACATTGTTGTCACTGGAATGCCAATGTCATTATGAAGGAAACAATATTTACAAAGGACTCCTGATTTCCTGTAATTTGGTTTCAGTTGCATACACATCTCTGCGTATGAAAATCTGTAGACCACTCACTATAGACCTGGTATCACTGTCAGTATGTGAATCAGTCAGTGCTGACATTTCCTGTTGGTGATGTTCAAAGCAGAGTCAATTCTCAGGATGAACTCTGCTATTTTTAGATAGATGAAGAAGGTAGAACATGTAAGATCTTGTCATAGGTGATGTATCCTGTTGTTTCCTCACATTTGAGTACCTGGAACCTAATTTCTATAAAATTTTACTTGATTCGGTTTAAAAAGTCTTAAACTTCACTGTTATTAGGCAGAAAATTGTATTATAATTTCAAATAAATCCTATTACCTAAGAAAAATGCTATAAGCCAAAAGCTTTGCGCGATGACTATGAAAGATCTTAAAAACGGTGTAAACTTGGGTATTAATTCAGTATCAAAAGGACGGTTGCTATTTGACACTATATGTTGACTTTCATGAGTCTGTTTCTCCTGTTTTGTATGAAGCAGGTAAACTAAACAATTTCTAACTTGTAGTTCAGAATTCATCAAAATATCCACTCATAATCTCTCTGTTCTTCCTCTTTACAAGGCATCATGCTTGATAATCACTTGGTCAAAATATATATATATATATCTTTTATGAAGTCTCTACAGAATTCAGTCCTTGCTTAAGTCTTACTGTCAGAATCCATAACACGAATCTCTTGTTTCAACATCAAAGCCTTATTTTGTGTTTTCTTTGATGATAATAATTAAAAGGTGATAGCCATATGATGCACATATCTTCTAGTTAACTGACTATGTGAAGAAATAGGGCTGTATCCCTAACCGACAGAAAGTGTAGTTTACCACTGACAATCTGAGTTTCAGGGAGCGTGATAAGGAGAACATCTGCTTTAATGCATTCCTTTCTAGTAGCATATGGATGAGATTGCTTCAGAAACTTCACAAACATTTCTTACAGAGAATTTCACTATATTACTGGAAACTCCTCTGGCTTATCCCCTTTTCTGATAGTTTGCTGAGACACTTGCCTCACCTCCACATGTGAGCCACACAACCTTTAGCCCACAATTGCCTCAGTTTCCACACCTTTGAAATATGCTAATGAGGTCAGAAAGAGGAAACAGCTAAGCAGCAATGGGACCTCCAGTGTCTTTCCTGATAAAGAATGTCCTGTAATGGTAAGTGGTCAGTATTGCTTTCAGCCTTTGTTTCAATGACCGATGTTCCCTTTTAACCCCTGAGAGGTCTCATTTTCTCTTTGCTAAAACTTACATGTTGATGAGATATTTAAAGCTCTATTATTAGAATCATCACCCAGTCGATAAAGATTTAGTGAGTGCCCCCATTATGTTAACCTCTAACTTAGGAAAATTGTGAGCAAATCACCTTCTGTTTTTATGAAGGTTTCAGTCTACTGACAACAAATACCATTTATTAGCCAATAAGTAAAGCTAGTAATTACTGCAGTAATCAAAGGTATAAAATAGGTGATCCCTGTGGTCTCCAAGAGTAGTACGAATGTTAAGATCATTTGCTGAGGTCCCAGAAGATGTTCATCTTAACATGTAGTGAGATGGAAGAAATAAGCCCTGCTGAAAAGCAAAAAGGGTAACCTAGGCAACAAAGGAGCATGTACAAAGGCTCTGAGGTAGAAAATAGCCCCCTTATTTTATTTGGGCTTCAGTTTTCTTTAAAAAAAAATTATTTATTTTTGTTGATAAAGCATTTACAGGGAGAAAGAAAGACAGAAAGATCTTCCATCTGCTGATTTACTTCCCAGATGGTTGCAACAGCCAGAGCTGAGTCAAGCTAAAGCCAAGAAAGCAGCCTCTTCCAGGTCTCCTATGCAGGCACAGGGTCCCAAGGCTTTGGACCATCCTCTACTGATTTCCCAGGCCGCAGGAAGGGAGCTGCAAAGGATGTGGAACAGCTGTGACACAAAGCAGCACCCATATGGGCTGCTGACACTTGCAGGTGGAGGCTAGCCAAATGAGCTACACCAGTCCCTCACCCAGTTTTTAAAAATAAATAAATAAATAAATAAATAAATAAATAAATAAATAAAAGAATGAAACAAAAAAAAAGAAAAGTATTTTCTATGCATTATCCATTTTCATTTTCCTAAAATATTTCCAAAACTCTTCAGGATGGTATATATTTTTAAATTCCATATCCTCCTTTGCAAATACCATTAGCAATGTCACACACATTTGATATGAGACTTGATGCCTCCCAGGATTTTATAGAAAGCTTTTACCATTTGGATAATAGCACTACTCCTGTTTTCCTGACCAATTACTCCACTCAGTCTTGAAAGCAGATACAATGGTGTGAATTTCAGCAGCCATCTTGTGATGAGGATGACCATCTAAAGATACCTTCAACATCAGCTCTGTTAGTGCTGAACTAATGAGCAATTTAAAAGCTAACATATTGGGCCAGCATTCTGGTTTAATGCGTTAAGCCAGCACCTGTGACACTGGCATCCCAAATGGGCTCTGACTGGAGTACCCGCTGCTCCACTTCAAATCCAGTTCCTTTTATAATGTGCCTAGAAAAACAGCAGAGGATGGACCAAGTGGATGGGACCCTGCACTGTGTGGGCGGTCTGGGCGAAGCTCATGATGTCAGCCCTGCTCAGCCTCTGCCACTGTGACAGTTTTGGACGTGAACCAGCCAGTGGATTATGCATATTTGTCTATCATCTATCTAACTCTCCCTCTAACTGCACATTTACCTTCATCATATTTTATGAAATCTAAACCTTCTTATACCTGTCTTCATTGCTAAGAATGTACTTGACTAAATAGTATGGTGAATCAAAATGACTAATACTTGACTAAAAATGCAGAAAACATACTGTAATTCATTGTCAAAATCTGGACATTGATTTTTCAGGACAAAGAGGGTTCTCTCAGTAATCATACTAGAATAATTGACTTAAGTTACTACTGTTCTAAGCAAGCCATGATTTGTTATCTTCTTAACTATAGATTATGCTGTGGATTAGATGACTTTCACAACAAATATACACATATTAACATAAAATTCTGACATACACCTAATACAAAACATATTTACATTGTTTGAAATGGGGCTGGTCATATAAGAAAGCATAGTAATCTGTGACATAGAACATAGAGAAGATTTGGGGAAAGGCTAGGGTAAAGAAAGTTTTTCCCCAAGGCCTGTGTAGCTGAGAATTTTTCAAGTCATTAATCCTTGGGTTTTAGTTTACAGTGAGAATTATAAATAGAGTCAGCTGTCTCTCCATGACTAGTACAGCCAGAGAGCCTGAAGGTCCTGTGCTATTTTCTTTGCTTGCTCTCTTCCTACCTCACCACTATTTTTCTTTTATGAATCATATCTTCACCAAAATAGTTGCTTAGACTGCCTGTCTGCTGAGAACACAAAGCATCTTCGATATTGCGGGAGTTGACTCAGTCCTTCTAAGTAATTCCTCTGCAGCAAACTGGGAATTTTTATTTCCACTCATTTCACACATGCAGCAGGACAGAGGGAAGACCACAGAACCTGGTTCTCCTGGCCCCCCTTCTCATGGATCCTCAGAGATGCTCTGAATATTTTTATACAGCAGTAACCCCAAAAGCTATCGTAAAGGAGACTTATACAGTGGGATGCCTTCAAGAACATGAATATGCACATGAATTCCGTGGAATATACAAATAAATCTTGGAATTTCCTAAGAATATAATTAGGGTACTTCTTGTCTGAAAACTGTGTAGGTTTAAAGTTTGTTACTAAGAAACAGCTACGTCTCTCACCACTTACTCTTATTACCACCTGGTAAACAAATTAAAGTACTCTTAAGGTCAAACAATCCTAGGTCATGATGTGAAATGAACACAATGACTTGTATTTATTAGCAGGAGAATGTTCTTCATGATGTATAAGCACCCATACCTACCCCTCTTTTTTTACTGACTACAACAAAAACAGAAAAATTCCACTGAAGAGTTTAATTTTTGATGTTCATCCCTGTATTTACAGAATCACTGCTCTTCAGCAACAACTTTGTTAAGTTATATCAAGGGTTTCTACACAGAAAGTTCTTTTAGTATATTATTATGAAAGTTTTCTTGATATTCTTCTCTAATAGATGTAATGAATTGAAGGCATCTTAGTTACAGTCTTAATCATTCATGATAATAAAGAAGGTTAGAAATGAATTTACTCACAGCTCCCAAATTTTAGTGGGCAGGCATGGGCATCCATAGGGAAGTCCTCCAAATGCATTGGACATTCAGCTCTCACAGTCAGCCTTATTCATTAAGGGAAACAGAAGATACAAACAAAAGGCCCGTAGGTTAGCAGCATACACAAGTGTGATGTTACCAATTTTGGTAAATACATCCACAAAAAGGAGAAAATACAAGCTTAGAGTTACGCTGAGTTTTTAATAATGTAGGACTCAAAAAGAATGTTTAAGAACTAGAGTATAGGGCCAGTGCGATAGCATAGCGGCTAAGGTCCTCGCCTTGAATGCGCCAAGATAACATATAGGCACCAGTTCTGATCCCGGTAGGCCCACTTCCCATCCAGCTCCCTGCCTGTGGCCTGGGAATGCAGTCAAGGACGGCCCAAGACTTTGGGACCCTGCACCCTCGTGGGAGACCCGGAAGGCTCCTGGCTTCAGATTGGCTCAGCTGAAGCTGTTGCGGTCACTTGGGGAGTGAATCATTGGAGGGAAGAGCTTCCTCTCTGTATGTGTACATATGGAGTATGTCCATTTGTTTCCTTTGAAAAATACCAATTTCATACAACGTATAAATGTTACTAATGGTTTCCCAAATAAGCTCCATCAACCACTCCACCCAGCTACAGCAAATATAACCAAGAATTTATGAAAATCCAAATTTGCAGAACTAGTTCATCCTTAGTTGGGCAAAAGATATTGATATCAAGGAAAATAAGGTAACATCGCCTGTTTCAAACGTAGTTTCTTTTCTCTTTCCCACCCAAAGGTAGTAAAGAATGCATTAAGTAAGAGGCATAACTAAAGGAGCAGAATCCTTGGAACTCTATGATATCAAAGTTATTGTAAAGTCCCGTTGAGAGTTTGAATGTGATCTCGTTTTATTCCAGTCATTTAATTTTATTAAAAAATTGCCAAGACTCCGCGTGCTTCTGTTTTAGTTCTTAGGATATTCTGGAATGTGAATTTCAGTCAGACTTTTCAAAAATGATTGCTAAGGAAAGAATTCAAAAGGAATATGCTTGCTCTGCAGCATTATACAGGAATTTATCCTCATTTTCCTTTTAACACTTTTTGCCCATATATTAAATAGTTCATGTCTCAAGAAATGCAGTAAGATAGTTTTATAACAAGCCAGTGAAATTTTTAGCTGTAATACAGAATCATTCAAATAGGAAATGAATAACAGTGATTACATTCTTGACCAATTATTAAAGAATATGATAAACATAAAAATGGATGATAAATCAAGAATATGAAAAAGATAAGCTAGCTTTTTTCCCCTTGTTTTTACATTCATACTAGGGCCTCTTCCCCTCATGCTGTTTCTTCCGAGATGTTCTCTTTGCCCCTTGACTGCTCTGTTCAGAGAGCAAGTTGGAGGCCAAAAGCTTCACTCCCTGGCTGGGCAGAGAGCATTAACCATTCCACTTGAGCATCCAGCAGATCTGAGCTTCTCGGTAGCTCTTTAAGACAAAGCAGCAGAGGAAAATGGCACATATCTGAAATCACTAATAGGCAAAATGATCAGGATACATAAATTCCATTTCTGATCATTGATACTTGAAAGGATTGAACATTGGGTGTGGGCTCAGAGATAAATATTGGATTGCTATCGGGAATAATAGTCTAGGTTTTAAATGTAAGTATGTCCCACCAGGATGATTTGAAATGCCTCAACACAGGCCCATTGTCCCTTCGTTTTTATGCTTTATTTTTGTTCTTGTTGCTGTTATTTATTTTTTAGGTTCTGATTACATTGGCTAGTTAGTTCCAACACCTAAAGTATCTCTTAAAGCATTTTCTTCCTCTTTCATTTCGTTGTTTCTAATTTGAAAAGCAATTCATTCTGGCATATTTTTTCACTCAAAATATCATTCTACTCCCATGCTAAATACAATGCCTTTAATTGAAAAAATGCCATTAATGCCAATTATACCAAAAGAATAATTGGGCTGCTTATATTTATAAGCACTGGCCAGATTTACTAAAACAGCATTAAAAATAATTCATCTGAGAATGAAATGCTGCTGATCTCAAGACTGTGTCCAGGACATTACTTAATTTCTCATAAATTAATAATGTCTTAAAGTTTACCTTTTTTCTTTATGCATTTTCTACATTTCATAGTGAATGTTTTGAGCAGTTAGTAAATGCCAAATTTTGCAGTAATCTCAAAAAGGGTAAAATAGTTGTAAGCAGAAATATATTGTACATGGTTTTCAATTTATAATATTAGTTTTATTGTACTCACAGTCTATATTATTGTGGTTCATAATCTTCTTCAAATAAATGTTTGACATTAATTTGTATTTTTTGCTATATTTTTCAGTTTTTTAATTCCTTCACTTACAGCAGAAAAATATTCAGATTTAGCGTCAGATAACTTATAGAAATTTAATCTATACCCTAGCAGAGTTCAGAACCATGTGAGACTTAGAGGAGAAAATGTTATTCCTCAAAATATTATAATCATTTTTCGTTATTAGAATAATTTTCTTGACATTTAGATGCTAGGATAACATTTCAGAAAGCCAAGTTTTAATATAGTAATTTCTTATGTTAAAAATCAGGACAAGTAAGAAGCCAAAATAAGAAACCATCATAGCCTATCAGTGCCTGTAAAGAGGAGATTCAGTGTAGAAGGGGTCCTGAAGGGAAGTGCGGCCACCCTTACCTCATGGTGTACAGCAAGGTGCCGTCCTCTGTGATCCGTAGCAGTTTGTTGGGCATGGTCATGTTGTGGGCCACCGACTTCTTTCCATTGTGAAAAAAGGTGTCTGGGGTCCAGATTTTACTTGCCATTAGATTATTTAACCGGAGAACGGTCATGGGCCCTTTAAATTTTAACCTTTCATCCTTCCAGCTTTGACGGAAAAAGACATCTATTGTATATTCCTAGGTAGTTTTGGAAAATGGAGCAAATATTACCGTGCTGTATTTTGCAATGCAAATATCTTACACGGAGCATCCATAATTTTTACAAGTTTGGAAGCAAAAGGTGAGCTATGTAATGTTCCAGAAGTAAACTTGTAATACATTTAAGTGTCCTGGAAATCACTGGTTGCCATAATGATACACATAAATCCAAAATTTATGTATCTTAGAGATACATAAATATATTTCTAAAACCCCCAACTTTTTTCTAATTAGAAGCTTCAGGCCTATCATGTTCTTAGACTGTAAAATAAGAGTAACACCCCACCCTAATGTCTACCTTAACCTCTACCAAACCTGCAGTCAAAACAAATAAAATTTATTACAGTAGAAATCACACTCAGAGGCAATTATTGAAAGGCCAACATTTACATTAGATATTTCCAGCCATAAAGAAAAAGCACTGTGTATCCTAAGGCAAGGTGGTCATGATTCTACTGGACTGTAAAAATTTCATTGTCTTTTTGATTAAGTGAACCTTGTTGGCACAGATAGTGTAAAGACAATGAAGATTATGAAATGAAGGGATTCATTTCCCCTCAAAAAATGTAAGTAAAAAAGAAATGCAGAATGTGTCTATGTGTGAGTTGATGTGTGATCGTGTGCGTAAGTCACATGAAAAATGTGTGAAAGTCATCATCATTCACAGTTAGAGACTTTATTTATTTGAATAAACATAGCATCCCTTATAGCAATACCCAGAGACAAACATCTGCTAATCTGAAAATAAGCAATGAGCTTTACCAGCTCTAAAAATTGAAACAGGTGGTATCTATCTCGCCTGTAAAACTTGCTACACTGACACTGTATTTGGACTCAATAGTTTGAAATGAACGTTACCACATTCTCTGTCAACCCAAGCATGCTGCTCACCAGAAGGAAGATGGATGGTGAAATATCCTGCTGCATCATAATGTCTCAAAAAGCATCTGGTTTTATTAAATCATATACTTTGTGCTTAAGAATACACAATAATTATGTCTGAAGGCATTTATCTACTTATCTCCTTCCCATGGCTTAAAAAAGGTCTGAAAGTTCAATATGTCCTTCCGGCACATTTGGCATTGTTGAGGAATTACTGGTTGAGTAATTTAGAACTATTATTGGACAGTTTGTAATGCACAGAGCATACCACCCATTGCAGTGGAGAGAGACACAAGGGAGTTTATCTGTCTGTCTTTGTGGCAAGTCCAGTCATTTCATTGGTTAGTTTGATTTTTGTGTGCTTGGAGGAATCAAATGGAAGAGTGACAAACGATAGGCATTTACCCAAACACTTCTTGCATATCTGCTAAATTTAGCAGAGGGAGAAACGATTTAGTCATGGGTACTATAAGAAATGCTCATAGAGAAACTGAATAGGATTCAAACAGGAAAAAGGGGAGATACGAGGAGGGAGACTGAGGATTTCATCAGAAAATAATACAGTACAATGATGTCTATTAAATAAATACATGAATATAACCTGGACTGGATCTGTTGCCATCATGGACAACACAGCCTGGGGTGTGACATACAATATAGGGTATTTGTGTTACTCAAGGTTTAGACACATGGACTCAATTATTAACAATCAAAAGAACTCTTTAATTTACTCAACAGTTCAAACACTACCAAAAATAGGTTTCCAAAAATGCCTAAGATGATACCATCCAAATGTTTAGTTCATCTCTTTACTCCCAGTATTTTTTGAAAATAAAAGTTAAATTTAAAATCGATGTACTATGAAATCTTGACAAGGTATAAAAGACAATGACTGCAAAAAATTATATCAAAACATGCTTGCACCCTAACATTGAGTCCTTTATACATCCAGACCCAGCTCTACTCACCTGTGTGAACAGGCAATGACATCACAAAACTCATTCATGATTCTCCCTTCAAATGCATACCACTTACTCATATACACATACAAAGGGAAAAATATAACTTGGTAAAGTTCATTTCTACTATGGCCTCTGTTGGAAGTAGAAAAGCAAATCTGGAATTAACGCAGTTACTGAAGATCAGTCACTGCCTAAGAGTGTGAATATTTGATCTCTCATTTTCTGAAAACTATGGCAGGTGCTCCATCATCTGTGAAGTATGACATCCTGCTCGATGGTCCCTGTTCGTTACTTGAAGAAGAGCATCTGAAGTAGTGTGGGACAGAATCCCATCTTCAGCAGTTTGGAACAAGTTAGTAGAAAGAGGCAAAGCCCATGGCATACTGTTGATGGATTCAAATTCCAAACCTTTCAGCTGAATGGCCCCAGGTGATTTTTTTAAAATATATTTTATTTATGAGTTATGGTGAAACAATTTCATATGTTGCATACACACAGATTTAGAAAAGGAGATTTGAGAGGAACATTATTTGTATCGACTGTGAGCACATTGAATTTGTAAAGTTCTTTGAGTAGTCTGAGCCTTTTAGTGACAGTATTTCAATCCACGAACATGATTCTTCCATTGTTTTTGGTGTCTTCTTATTTCTCTTTAAATGCTTTGTTATTTATATTGTAGAGATCTTTCACTTCATTGGTTAAGTTAATTCGGAAGTGTTTTTAGTAGCTAATGCAAATAGCACTAATTTCACAACCTGTTTCTCAGTCATGGTATTGTCTGCGTATACAATCCCTATCAGTTTTTGCCTGTCTACTTTATAACCTGCAACTTTACCAAATAGTCTCGTAAGTTCCAGTAGTCTCTTATTGGGTCTTTTTATTATTTTTTTTAAAGATTTATTTTTATTATTTTTTATTGGAAAGGCAGATATATAGAGAGGAGAGACAGAGAGGAAGATCTTCTGTCCAATGATTCACTCCCCAAGTGAGCGCAACGGCCGATACTATGCCGATCCGAAGCCAGGAGCCTCTTCCGGGTCTCCCACGCGGGTGCAGGGTCCCAAAGCTTTGGGCCATCCTCGACTGCCTTCCCAGGCCACAGGCAGGGAGCTGGAAGGGAAGTGGGGCTGCCGGGATTAGAACCGGCACCCATATGGGATCCCGGGTGTGCAAGGTGAGGACCTTAACCACTGCGCCACCGCACCAGGCCCTTATTGGGTCTTTAATTTCCCTACAGAAGCATGTCATGTACAAACAGGAATAATTTAAGTTTTTTATTTCTGTTTTGTATCCCTTTGATTTATGCTTGCCTAATAGCTCTGGCTTTGAATAGCAGCAATGAGAGTGGGCATTCTGGTATGGTTCCAGAGCTTAGTGGAAATGCTTTCAGCTTTTCCCCATTCCATGTGATGCTGGGTGTGGTTTCTCATCGATTGCCTTGATTGTGTTTTGAAATGCTTCTTCTACATCCAATTTTCTTAATATCTTTTATCATGGAACGTTGTTGTATTTTATCAAATGCTTTCCCTGAATCTTTCAAGATACTCATGATTTTTCCTCTTTAGTTTGTGAATATGAGGTATCACATTTATTGATGTGTATCTGTTGAATCATCCCTGCCTAACAGAGACAAATTCAACTTGGTCCCTGTGAAATATTTTTCTGATGTGTTCTTAGATCCAAATAGTCAATATTTTGTTGAGAATTTTTTCATCTATGTTCATAATTGGCATTAGTCTATTGTTCTTCTTATTAGATATTTATTTCTGGCTTTGGAATTGGGGTGATGTTGGCCTCATAGGAGAAGTTTGAGAGGATTCCTCAATTGTTTTTGAAAATATTAAGAAAAATTAAAATTAGTTCTTGAAAAGTTTGATAGAGCTCAGCAATAAAAGCTTTCTGTTAAGAGAGCTTCTATCACTGCCTTAATCTCCATCTTAGTTATCGATAGGTTTACATTTTTATTTCTTCAAGATTCAATCTTGGTTGATTTTATGTGTTCATAAATCTCTACATATCCACTAGATTTTTCATTTATAAAAAATTTGTGTGTAGTGATTCCTGCTAATTCTTTTTCTTTGATTTCCTTTGTGACATCTCTCTCTTCATCTCTGATTTTATTAATTTGATCCTCTCTTATTTGCTAGTTAGCTGAACCAGTTCAATTTTATTTACTTATTCAAAAATCTTGCCCTTCATTTTGCTGATTTTTTTGGTATTTATATCAATTTTACTTATGGTTTTTCTCACATTAATTATTTCTTTACTTCTACTAATTTGGGGCTCGGTTTCTTCCTGTTTTTATAGGTCATTAAGATGCATTGTTTTGTCATTTATTTCATGCCTTTCTAATTTTTTGATGTGGGCACTAATTTCTATAAACTTCCCTATTCACTCTGTTTTTGCTATATCCCTTATATTTTGATATGCCATGTTATCATCTTTACTTGTTTCCAAGAATTTCTCTATTTTTCCTTTTGATTCTACAACCCAGTGTTAATTCAGGAGCATGCTGTTTAGTGGGATGGGTGCATTTTTTCTAGAATTTCTTTAATTGTTGATTTCCAACTTCATTCCGCAATGATCAGAAAAGATATGTGATTTAATTTCTGTGAGATTCCTGAGACTTACACAATAGGTTGGTATATGGTCTATTCTAGAAAAAGTTCCATGCACTGATGAAAGACTGTGTATTCTGAAGCTAGAGGATGAAATGGGGATGAAATGAGTGATACGTTCTATAGGTATCGATTAGATCCATTTTGTACACAGTGTAGGTCAGTCCCATTAGCTCTTTGCTGATATTTGTTCTAGTTGGTCTATCCATTGACAAAATGAGGTGGTGAAGTTGTATTTTAGCTATTCATTATTGCACTGCAAAAGACATCTCCATTTATATTCATTTACATTTGTTTTAAATAGCCAGGAATTCTGGCATTGACTGCATAAACATTACTATAGTCACATTTTCCTGTTGAATCGAACACTTAATTTCACAATGACTCTCTTTGTCTCTTTTAACAGTTTTTGTGTTAAAGTATATTTTTTCCAATATTCAGATGGTTATTTCTGCTCTTTTTCGCTTTCTGTTAACAAGGGATATATTTTTTTCCCATACTTTCACTTTTGGTCAGTGTGTGTCATTGGTGGTAAGTTGTGTGTCTTAAAGGCAGCGGCTAGACGGATTTTGTTTTTGAATCCTTCAATCAATCTGTGTCTTATACTTGAAGAATTTACCATTTACATTTAAGGTTATTACTGATAAGTAATTACTTGACCCTGCAAGTTTTTTTTTTTTAAGTATTCCTATTGTTTGCTCTGGAATTTTCGTACTTTTACTGGGAGATTTTCTTTCTTCAGTATTGTCTGCATCATTATTTAATGCCAAATAAGTGGTGTTGATTTTTTTCAATTTCAGTTTGTTTTGGAATATCTTTACCTTTGTTCATACATGAGAGCTTTGAAGTGAGGGGAATGCCCCACAGGCTTAAATAAGTGCCTCGCTCCCTCCAAATGACCAACACAGGCTCAAAGTCAGTGAGGGTCATGAATTCATTCCTCAGACAAAAATCCTTTAGTTTCAAGCCTGTGAGGCCATGCAGCCTGTGTCTGGCTTTGTTAAGGTGGCACTTCCTCCCCGTTATTCACAGGGAGCCTTCTGGGGCAGATGGGAAGCAGCCAACATGCTCCCAGTTCAGATTTGTGTGAACACTCTGCTGTAAGCTAGCACTCCAGGCTGGACTCAAAGTACATGGAATCCACAAGTATTCCCTCATACCTCACCAGTGATACAGGCTGTTGCAGTCACATTGACCTTGAAGAAGATGCTGATTCTCACGTTGTTCATGGTAAATTTCAAAACCCTTCTCAGCCATGGACTCCTAAGCGGGGCTACTGCACCTGGCCATTGTGAGAAATAGCTTCAAGCCTGTAAACAACTTCCTCCAATATGCCTAGAACCTACAAAGCTCTTAACAATTGGTAGAAAGTATTTATTTCCCATTTGATTATTTATTAGCATGGATTCATAGATTCCTATGGTGCTGGAAATGAGATATTGCTATTTCTTTGGGAGGGCCTTGGGACACGAAACACCTAAAAAGTGAGCAAAACAAACGTAGGACGCAGTGGGAAGGACTCCGTGGAACAGTGTGAGCTTACAAGAAGCTTGATGAAAGAATTTGTTCAAGTTGAATATTTCCATCCCTCACTACTCCAGTGAAAAGTTGCTCTCACTTCTTTTCCTCAGCAGAGTAAGTCCCTGGAGGATGAAAGCCGTATCCTGAAGATCTGGGACAAAACATCCACTGTGTTCCTAAATAAATATTGTATTGAAGTGTTCCTACTTGCCACATTTATTGCCATCTCTGTAAGCTTTGACTTAATACGTTTTAAGCACTGTAGAAAACAAATCCCTGTGATTGTGCTGCCTCGATATTTCTGTCAGAACCTGGTGCCCTGAGAATATTCTCTATGATGGCCAATTAGTGGTTTTTTAAAATAAAATTAAGGAGGTGTCCTAATTTTGTTTTCTATTCCTGATAAAGTCAGATGCCTTGAGAGCTATTGAGTCTCTAGGGATGGAAAGACCGGGTTCCCGCTGCTACACTGAGCAGGTCACACGGTCCTTCTCTGGAACATGTGTATAAAAATTGTATTTAGCTAAAAGGTTTCATATAAGAACTAAATCAATCTATAAAGTTTCTAGCGTCATGCCTAAAATATTGTGATTATTAGATAATGGCAAATTATGTTGTGGTTGTTATTATGGATTAAATATTACATTAGTTCTTAGTTTTAAAATTACGAAGTTTTTTTCTCTGTTTAGAAAAAACAGCTTTAGCCTTCTGCCTTGATATTTTGTTTCTCGGTTCACTGATCCTTCTTCATAATTCTTACATATATTGGTTTAAATGATGAATCTACTAAAGCAAACTAGTCAAGTACAATTTCCACTTAAAAATATTTGCAGAGCTATGACTAATTTGCCCTTTTATAGAGAAAACATTGTCTTTTGTTGTCATATTCAGAAGCTTTGGGTGATATGTTAGACATTGTATCTATCAGTTTTATCTGTTGTGTGACAAGGGTCCTATGTGAAATATAGTGCTATATTGATGCTATCTGAGAAATCCTCTTGTGAGACGGCACCTTGGTGCAGTGTAATTAGCTCCTCATTACCACACCATGGTGGACTGCTCTAGTGTAAACTACTCCACTTCGCATCCACTTTGTTCTAATATACATGGAATGGTAACAGGTGGTGGGCATGTTCTCGGGCCCCTGTCACACACATGGGGATCCAAAATGCATTTCCAGCCTCATAACTTTATCCTGGCCAATCTAACTCCTGCCCATTTCAGCTGCTTGGGGAGTGAACCAGTAGATGGAAAAGCTTGCTCACTCTTTATAGCTCTCGCTCTCTCTCTCCCTCCCCTTACTCTGTGTGTGTCTCCTCCTGGCTCTGCAGCTCTGCATTTCAATTAAATAAATCTTTTAAGAATCCTGTTATATATTTTTTACTTCAAAGGGGGAAAATCACTGGTTCTTTAGGGCCCTTACGTCACAGTTAACTTGAACCGGTAACTGAGAGACATGCTAAATATTTTCCAAAGGAAAAGATTTCTACAACACATGACCTCAATGGAGCACTAATTTTGTGTGAAGAATCATGATATGTATCAGAAAGAGAATAGTTATTTTAAAATTTAAAATTATTATCATTAGGGCCAGTATTCTGATCAATATGGGATATTAGTGATGTTTTGTGCCCTCTGTTGATGACTTGATCAATAAGATAATAAACTTTACCAGTAGAAAATGTTCAAATGCTCTCTTTTTCCCCTCATATGCTTCTGGAAGAGAGATAAAGGGAAGGGTTATTTATGCTGATCTGTGATTTTGGGAGGAAAACACACTTGTCTATTTTAGTCCTTTTGTGTGCCTTTTTCATTTGGATGCTCTCTGTTCATCCTGACAAATTCTGTGTTCCTCAGTGGCAGAAGCTATACATCTAGTACAGATATATTTTATTTTCTGGAACAAATTTAGGAAAATAACACTTATCTGTGCAATCTAAATAACTTTGCAAAGTGATCATCTGTAAGTATCCAGATGGTAAATTGTATATCATATTTAATGCAAATTACTGAAATATAGAAAAGGAAAGCTGTATTAATGTAAAAAGTAATTCCATCAAGCTTTTGGATCTAATGGAAGCATGTAAAATACAGGATTTAGATTGGTAGAGTAAAAATGAAACTTTCATGAAGTCTATATGATATGATAATAGGTCTAGAGGCAAAAATAACACTGTTTTTCAATTTGGGAGTATTAATGGTAAATATCTCACTTATTATAGACATATATGATAAGACACACGTTGAGAAACATTGTGTCTTAGGAACTGAAGCAATTTGTCCAAGATTATACTGGGAGTGACGAAGAGGTTCAAATTGGAATTTCTCCAATCTTAAAACTCGTCTTGCTAGCCCCTACTTATATTACCTCACAAAAAGCAGGCTTCATACAAATGACTAAAGCAATCGTGTATCAGAATTCATTTTTCAAACGAAGATTATTCTAACAACAAGACATTTCAGAATTAAGATTCAATTAATATATCTGAAATATTCACAATAGTATGTCTCCATGTTCTGTTTGTGATGCTTTGTTTATATAGAAGTTTGAGCTCAGAAACATCATACACACATCATACATACATCAAACATGCACAGCCCTATTAATTAAGTAACTCCTGAAAGAAATTCGTGTTGGCTTATTTGAGTGAACATCAAAAAATACAACCCCGTATTCATTTTATAATCACTCGTGCTCATAATGAGTGTATCAGTGCAGCAGAATGTTTCTCATTGGTATAATTAGTTTTAACCATGTCTGATTTTGGTCGAAGACTCATTCAACGTTTATACCATTTGTATGCATTTCTCCCTTCTATCACAAATTAACATGACCGCCTAACTCAAATGAGGGGCGACTTGAACTACACGGCTAACAGAACCCAAACCAAGTGAAGAAACTCAATCATTTACATCAATAGAAATAAGACTATTCTAACAAGCTGATGTGTTTTTCCACTGCACGGATATCATTTGTAAGCACATATATGTCTGTTACTTTTTATATGTTGAGTACACAGTGACACAAAGATATAGCCAAGCTTTTTCAAGTTGTTCCCAAATACTTAACCTCTATTTTTTTCTCACCTAAGTTCAGTTTTGAAAATCTCTCAAGAAAACTCAAAGATTCAGTGCCACTTACCATATCATGGTCTGAAACGGGTCCGAAACTTGTGACGAAGATGTCGGTCTTCACTTCAGTTACACGCTCTGGTGGAGCAGGAAATGAGGCCAGTGAGTGTCTATCAACAGTTCTGATTAGATATCATCACCACATACTCACACCCAAATGAGAAACGTATTGACTTTGATTAGCTGTTTCTAAAATTGGTCCACAGTGTAGTCCTCGTAATTCACTGCTTACACATGAAATTTCACAGTTAATATTTTCAGTGAAGAACAGCATCTAAATATGCCACTTCGGGGAGGCAGACTATATGGAGAACTCAGCTGCTGCTTAATGAGTTGTTTGAGAATGGACACACACTTGCCTAAATCATACTAACCCACTCGGCATTGTATTGAAAATATGTTTGTATTTGGCTTTGACTTCCCTTCAAATATTTTTTACACTGTCAGGCAGATTCTCTAGGTATTTAGGCTACTCTGGGGAAATATATAGTACATTTTAGCAAGCTTTATTTACTCTTTGAATTCTTGAGAGCATGTTGTATAAATGACTGCCTTTTTGCACTAAATCATACTGATTTATTTCAAATTATTGTGGGGGAAAAATATGCCCACCTATGTATCTTCAATTTTAAGGATGAGAACATATTTTGGTATAGAAAAACTTTATTTAATAGATTCTGTTTCACATTCACTGTCATTTTATTACATTGGCCTCTGATGGCATATATATCAACCGATAAAACATATTTATTGTAGTACTATGACAACTCAACACAGACATTTTCAAAGAAATATAGTCACTCACCAAGAACTAGAGAAATGTTGCTTGCAGAAAAAGAAACAATTTGTTGAGGGGTGGGAATGAATAGGATGACTGTGATTTTCACCTTAGTTATAAAAGATAGCAGTCCAGTTTCTTAAGCAGCTCATTTCTTTTATCAGGTCATTTGTACCTCTGGCATAGGACTTTAAAGTTGATCTATTATATGCAATAATAGATGTCTCAGAAAATTTAAAAAGCTGTCCTCTCTCCCTTGTGAATAGTTAATCTCAATAAAAACTTCTGTCAAGGAGACCATATTTTATGGGGTTACTCAAAAAAATATAACTCTGTTTTTGATGTGATAATATTTTTTTTCAATCAATGCATATTTTTTTTCATACTACATACATTCAGTGAACTTTCTGAAGATGCCTCTTACACTGCATGGAATCCATATCTGAATTTACAAAATAACTCGTAGCTAGTGAAGTTCTTTTCAGTCATGGGTCTGATGTTTTTGTTTCTGCAGTACAGCAGTGTTTCAGCTGTCATGCCCATCCTCTTAGGAGGTTCCCATCTTCATCCCCAGTACGTACACATCTCTACCACACTCTCCCAACACAGATTTTGTTTTTATCACAATAACACTTTTTCTTAGCTAAAACATCTGCTCTTTCTTATGATTATATTAAGACCTAGAAAATGAGTTGTTTAAGAATTAGAAAGTCCATATTTTCACTAGAAATGTTGTATAGTAAGAAACACAGACTCATATTTATTTGTTTGGTTCTGAGGACTTATTACTTATGAAGGAGGTCTGTTTACTACTCTAAGCTATTTTTTGTCCATCAAATTCAAAGGGAAAAAGACTACACGGAGACTAAATTACTAGTATTAGTCACTGTGAAATGTATTTTAACACCTTACTTTAAAATGATTCTATTTGGAAATTAAAAATAATCCTGGCCTTCCACATAAATAATGTATACTTGTACATTATGCAGTACTCTAGCTACCTATGAGCAAGATTTGAACAAACTGGTCCTTCATTTCTATTCTTATAAAACAATGTCTTAGAAAAAAATGTCACCTTCCTCCTACTTAATAAGAAAAGCTTATTTCAGGGAGGGGGTTACCGTGCTAATTGTGCATATGGACTAGATGCATATATATTAAGGTATCTAACCAACTGCTGATCATTCTGAGGTTTCAGGATTTAAGAAGTTAGATAAAGGCCAATTTTATTACCGTAGATATTTATTTCTTTTTCACTGAGCACCATTCTCCCTACACCATCCCATGAGCAGTTTATATCGAGAGATTAACTTTCATAATGAGGATACATTGCAATATCTGAGTTTCTTTTTATCTGAAAAGTCTTGATCAAAATTCTATAACCTGTGTAAATAACCTTGAGACATAATATTTCCTGTTCGCAGTGTGGTAGTTAGTTATACAATAATAATTTCTTGAAAAATATCCCATCACTTGGGACCTTGCATTCTCTTAAGTTTTCCAAAAATGGTAGTTTGTAACAGCCAACGAGGCAGCTCTCATCTTAGCGATACTATGCCATTTTTCAAATACAAAATTGATATTCTTCAGCCAAAAAAAAAAGCAGTCCTCTATAGAAAACATTTTTAAAGATAGCATATTAATACTAGAGTTATAATGGAAAAGAGAGACTGTATAAATATCAAGAGTATTTGCCCAAGAAATAAACTTCCCATACGCCAACACCGTGGTCTTGAGCACAGTCTCAGTGGTTACGTTCTATCTCAGGAAGTTCCTGGCACTGACTGAGGGGATGATTTAAACACAACAAGAAGGATAAGAGCAGAATGTTTTCTAAACATGCTGCAGTATTCCTTTGGGCATACGGGTTAGATTCATTGCAGAAGCTGACTGCCATCTCAGCCAGGAAAGGTTACAAGGTGCTGCTAGTTCATTTGAAAACCTCAAAAACCTCTTAGGTTTTTGGTAATTGTCTTTTCTATGAAATTCACCTGAATTACAGCGTGTCCAAATAGAGTGATTATGACGGCAGCATACAAAAATGTGCCGTTGTCTTGCATTAGGAGCAATAGTTAAAATATCACAAGTTTGAAGGAAAGAATTCCAAAAGAATTTCAAAAGATAACACCACAGGCCATTTTCTGGTGAGTACACATAATAGTAGAAATAAAGACTGGCAGAGCTTAACGTGGCTATTTATTCTTTGAATATGGTCAGTAATTTAGGATATTTTTAATCTTGTGATATTATGGCAGAAATTCCTAGCTCTTTATTTTTGAAATTCTTGCTTTTCAGTGTAAGTATAAAAAGAGTATTCTAATGTGGGCTGAACATGAATGGATCATCCCTCCTTAATCTCAGTTTTACAGTGTTAACAAAAAAATCACATGACTAATCTGACATCCCACAGTTTTGAGCTAGATGAAAACTGAATTTTTAAAAATATTGAATCCTCTGCTTTTTTTGATTATCTAGTGACCAAAACTGTAAAGTTGGACAAAACCATCCAAAACTTGATTTACTAGTTGCATCATTAGTTTTCACAATTTTTTTCTTATTTTTACCTGAGGAAATTACAACCCGTGATCTAAGCTCATTGCCTCACAAGCCAATGCTATTTTTGTAGCTGCAAAGGATTTCAGACTAAGCTAGCTTTCTTTTTGCACTTATGATTTGTTATAACTTACAGTTGCACTCTTAATTAAGCTGGTGGCTAATTTGAAATTTGTTTCAGTGGAATAAATATTTCAAGAATAGGAGAATCATGATAATAAGGAGACAGTGTGTTGTGAGGCACATATTTTTTAAAATCGTAATGTACTAGTACTAACATATTAGTATCAACTGAAGTTACAAATACTTCTTTAATAATTTTTACTCATTGAAATTTACCACAATACACAAATGAGTAAAACCAAAACAGCCAAATATACAAACCTTACAAGGGGAAAAGGATGGAGGAAGGACAAAGAAGAAACAGATAGAAGATTCAAATTGCTATTGTGTAGTAAGGATAAAGATAAAATTTGTTCTTTCCCTGCCTGCCTAACTACCTAGCTAGTTCATCTGCTTCTTTACCCATCCTGGGTTTGTCACATTAGAAATACACCTTACCTCTGTTTCCTGTGCCATATCTTTCGTGTGGATGGATGATAAAATCTTTGAGAGGTATCTATCACCAGATTTTTTTACTGAAATTAAATTTCAGACTGTATTTAGAAACTATAACAGTATTTTCAGGAACTGCCCTGAGCAGGTAGGGAGAAGGGGCGAACGCTTCTATTGCAGTCCCTTCAAAATGTGACATAACCACTATCTGATTCCTTCAGCTCTATCCTATTTGTATTCCTGTTAAAGATGGGGTTGCCTTGAGTTGTTTTCAAAAGAGTGATGTTAATTTATTTCTGAAGTAAGTGTCTTTTATGAGTGAGCTGGGTGAGATGAGCATGTGGACAAGAGGAAGAGGATATACTTAGCCTGGTGATATTGGCTAAACAAACAATTGCACGTGACTCTGGCTCGCTGTGGGATTTGGGGCATATAGTAAAGAAAGGGCAAACTTGTACTCTTGTACAGTGGGGCAAAGAGGAAGGGAAATGTACCATGGAAAGGTATCATTTGTCCTTAGAAGCCTAGAACCCTCAAGGACTACTCCTGCAATCTGTTTATAGATTATTTTTCTCTATCCCTAGTGTTAGGAATTAGCCAATAAGAACCTCACTAAGATTTCATCTAGATGGATGCAATTCATTGTTTAACGTGTAATAGTTTAGGAAGCTGAACATCATCCTCCCTTTTACATTTAAGATAATCGTGGCTGATAAAGAAACAATTTAGGAGAACGAATTTCTTCAGAAAATTGCCGATGTGGTCACAATGGAAAATGTCAAAAGGAGCCTTTATTATTCCTGCGACACCTGAACTCACCTGACACTCAAGATGTTCAGTTTTCTCCACCACAGCCTGTCCATTCCTTTCCATTATCTCCATCCTTGGTACTCCATTCTTTCGCCTTATTTTCTGCCCCCACTGCCTTGTTCTACTTTTTATTTTTTTTATTTTTTTATCTATTTTCTCTTTTACCTCCCCTTTTTATCTGACATTTACATTCTCCTTTCCCAGGTATTTTATTTTTGGTACTGACCATGCTAGAAGCAAGAATCTTGAAAAATTATTTTCAACTTCCAATTGCAAGGAATAATCACTTCTTTATTACCTTGCCAACAAGCAAAAAATTATGAGAATGAGTTTGACAGTTATTGACAATTTTGATTTGCCTTTTCTGGATTTATATTTATTTCAACTTTTCTTCATTTACTTTGCACTTAAAATGTGCATGCGACCAATTTATTTAGTTTTTTTTATGTTACTGAATAGCATATATACAAACTTAATATCATACATATCCTAATTCTTTTTCTCTCACTCATGTCTTGAAAATTATTCTTATATATATATTTTCTGTTATCTGTTTTATTGCTTTTTCCCAGGATTGAACTTGTCCCTAAAACGTTACCATTTTTTATTCAGTTACAAAATTTGTGAACTTGTTTATGTCATTTGGATCAACCAAGTTATGCATTTGAATGTTCTACTCGTTAAACCCTCTGATGTAGAGATCAATCATGATGAACTTGCACATACGAACATCCTTTGTGTTAGTTTCAAATCTTATTACGTGTTCCCCTATTTTCTGAAGACATTGAGAAGCAACTATAGCTGTCTTTTCAACACCACTGGTAATTTTACTTAAAAAAAAAAATTGTCCTAATGAAGAAAAAGCAAGCATTTCTTCTGCAGGAGGATATTATCCTAGCTGAGAGTATGAACTTACTGTAAGTAAACTTGTCTCCTCCTAAGCTGACAATATTCTTTCTAGTATTTCCTATACTGAGTGTTTTCATCCAAAAGCATTCAGCTCACATAAGGGGACGGCTGTCTGAAATATGAACTATACTTTTTTTTTCTCAGAAATATATAGTTATGGAATGAAATTAAGTATTTTAATTTTATTGACAAAAAAGAGCCACAAAGTAATTTCAAGTTATGTCTGACAGTAATCAAGATATTATTGTTTTCCTTTTCTATAGTTGATTATTTTTTAAAAGTATGTGTGATATTTTAAATTGTAATTCTATAATGATAAGCATTCTTAGCATATACTGAAAATCTGATAACTCTGTAGATATATGTAATAAACTAATGTCATTTTTATACCTAAAACACAATAGAATGCACTAAAAACAGAATATAAATTACTACATTTTGGCAATATTAAAATTTACTGCATAAATCTCTATTTCATAGCATTTGGTTGTACTATAGTTCTATAACATTTATAAGAAAAATAGAGAAATATTTGAGTCAATTTTAATTTTGTTTTAATGTCTGTTACACTAAAAAAAAAAAAAGGATAAGTGTTTCCAGGAGTCAACAAAAGGAGAAACCTCAACAAAAGTAAAAATGAAGGCAAATCCATTCCTTTGATTTTACCAAATCCTGGAATTTACTATTATTATAAACATGCAAGGGACTTGAAACAGATTGAAACAGATTTTTCTTGGTGAAATACATGTTTTTTTATATTGCAAATTTCAATGAAATTTCAAATACTCCCTCGTATTACATTCATTTTAATCCAAAAGAAGTTATCTTTGTCTATATTCAGTAAGATACTCTTTTGCTCTTCAAATTTACGTATGTATTTCTTATTTCCTTGAATTAGATAATAATAGTAAATTTAACAAAGATTATAATGATTCAGTATGAGTTAACTGGCCTAATTTTATAAGCAAATATTTCAGTTGCTTGACAATTGCAGATTCGTTTTTCAACCTATTAGTTTGTATGTCCTCAGTGTCTATGGTTGTCCCTGGTTTAGCTGTGCTATGAGGATTAGTTAATATACTTCCTGATCAGACTATATTTGATCAAATGGTTATAATATGCACTTACTAAAGTTATCATGGGCAATTATATGGAAATTGGCTGTCATGGCTTGTTCCTTGTGCTCTGAACTGCAATATAGCCACACACCTGATCACTAAAGAAAGCATATATAAGGAAGATTCCTTAAAAAACTGAAAACTATGCAAAGATCTTTCAGAGGATATTCATACTCACACCTTGAAAGACTAGACAGACCTCCTGAGCTGGGGAAAAGAATAAAAAATGTGGATAGATTGCAAAATTCTACTGCCATTTTAATTATATCATAGATTGATAAGGAGAATCAGTAAAGGGATGGGATATAACTCATAACTCTTGCTTTTCAAAAACTGTATGCGCATCCTGACTCTGATTTTTTGGATACTACTCCCCTACACCTGCAGCGTTAATAATGAATTCCAAATTGTTACAAATCAAGTATTCTCTCTGGAAGCAAATTCTAGTGTGTCCATGCAGATACACGAACACTTAGGAATACAATTATGATCTTCACTTGGTGCTCATGCCACATTTAATTTTTAGATTTTTCTCCTAGCAACTTAAATGGAAACGAGGGCTGAATACATTTGTATATTGAGTGCCAAAACCAATGTTTGAAATTGATTTTTTTAAAAGATACCTGATGAGGTTTTTCACATTTATTTCAGCTGTGTCTTTGACAGTTCTTATGTCTTCAGCCTCTGGGACTTTAACAGAACTTGACAGCCCCAAAGAGACCCTTGTTGCCCATCCATGAGTTTGCACTGTGCGGAGTATTTATTAAAAAGTAACTAAATCCAGTCCCACTCATTGAGTTGTAAAATCTGTGTTTTGTTTTCTAAGCTTCTGTTCTCCCTTTGTCTTTGTTGGCTTAATGAAGTAATTTTCTCAATATTGTCATTTAACTATCATTTAAGTATTGATATTAAATAGTTATCATGCATTTTTTGTAAAGGGCGCAGCATCAGCTACAGCTGAAAGTCAGATTCTTCTTTTTACTACTTGTGTGACTTTGAACAATAATCTGTTTTCTTGCTTCATTTTTTTATTTGGAGATCAATATTTTACTTTAGCTTCATTACTAATTGTTTAACCAAACAAGAAAGGTTGATGATGTTATTCAGGAGATGCTTAAATAAGTGCAATTTCTAGGACTATTTACTCTTATTATTGTTATACATGTAATGCTATGAAATGGCATACATCCTGCTAAGCAGATACTCATCAGTATAGTTAGTGAATTTATATATCAATAAATATAAAACTTAACCAAAGAAAATCAGAATCTAAGTTTCAATGTACGTTAATCTATCATGTTAACCTTTTATTGTAGGAAGGAGATAATAATTTAACACAATGTAGTGGATCGATACATAATATTTCAAAATAAATGTTTAAAGCAATGGAATCGAAGATATCCTGTTTGAATGCAATGCAGATGTAAAATGCCAGGGTGAAGCCAACACAGTCCTTGCACAGGAAGGGATGGTATCGTCCCCTTTTTCTGCTATGTAATCAACTCATTCCACAAAACACTTCATTTTCATCAGAAACATATAAAATCATCTTCACACAGTTACAAGAAGTTTGTATCTGCCCTTCACGACTTATAGGTATGTCCAAAAAACTAGAATTATAAATGAAGTTAACAGTGATCTAATAAAACAAACAATCATCAAATTATGACCTTTATTATTACCTTAGCATTCGGTGGGAAAGGGAAGCTATAAGGGTAAAAGTTTAAATATTATTCTTTAAAATAAAATAATAATACAACCTACCTCCCAGTCCTGGTCTCAGGCGATTGTCATAGCCATCCAGAAGTCTGTCCAAAATCCTAGTGAAGACAGTTGTATTATCTTTAAGTTCATCTTGCAGTGAGGGCTGTCCATAGCTGAAAAGGGGGGTGAGAACAGGGATGAGCAAGTCATGCATGTCTGCCCAATCCCGTCTCCAACCAAGGCCTTTCCAAGATGTTCTTGCCATTTGTTTTCCAATTGAATCTCAATTGGGATTCCTCAAATGGAGCTTAAAAATGAAGTAATATTTTAACACTCTGCATTCTCTCAGAATTGTTCTCACTGATGATAAGCTCTTCATTCTAGTGTTTCTAAACATGGAAGAAAAAGTGAGAGAGCTCTATGCAATGTCATTAATTACTATATTTTCTGCATGCAGATTACATTCTCATGAGTGTCTTCCCTGACTTAGCAAAATATTAAGTATCATAGAAAACTAAAACCCGTGGAATTTTTCACAAATAAGAAAAATGTATGTAATAGGCAGAATTTGTAGCTTTTCCTTATTACAGTTTATCCAAAAACTATATTTTCACTTCCCAGGATCCTTGTATCTACTTCGTATAAATCTGTATTTTGCTTTTATTATGTTCTTTCTTCAAGATATTGAGATAAAAATGTAGATAACACTTATATCTTGGTGTAATTATATGTTTGCCTCAGTCTACACATTTTCTTTTCCTTTAGCCAATTTCCTCTATAAACCAATTTTTAAATGTGTCTATTCAAGCTCCTAACTAATGGGATTTCTGTCATGTCTGGTCTTAAATGTGAAAGGAACTTTGCCAAAGATTAAGCTCACTGCTCTTAATTTGCAATTCACTAAACTGTCCCGCAGTTTCAGTGTTTGTTTTGAGAAGACAGCGATTTGTGAGCAAAGCTCAACCTAGAAGCTGTCTTCATCTTGGTTTTGAAACTTTATTTGCATTTTTCTCCTTTGCAAAAAAAATTTAATTAGACCTTAATATTTGAGAACAGTTTGTATCCATTACCATTGCTAGTCTTTGAGTTTCAGAACTATGGTAACCGTAGTTTAAAATTTGTCTATTTCTTGCACCAATCGCATTTCTGAGTATACTTCGTGAATCATATTTTATGTAATCATTAGCATAATACCTATGGAATCATCCAGAAGGGCATTTTCTATCCCCATAGATTACACTCCTGATACATCTTAACAGTCTCTCTGACCTTGAATAACAAAATAAGCAAATAAAGGAGGTATACTCAAAAATTGCTGGAAATCTATTACTTTCATAATTTCCCCTTTAATATGACTTTTGCTTCATTCTTGTGTGTTTATCTTAGTGAAAAGTATCTTTAAACATTTTAAATGCGAGTTCACTTATTAACTGAAGGACAAAATACAATGCTATTTCAAACACACTCACTGATTACCAGATGACTAATTATGTAATGGCAAAGTATAATGGCTATATTTTTCTGGTTAAATCTTAATCTACTAAATTGATTATAAATAAAAAGTCTCCATTATATTACATCTATAAAGAATGTGTTTATGAAACTATTTTTAACATTAGTGACAGGAAATCAGAGTTTACACTCTTTTGGCCAAAATAAATGTTTTGTTCACTTTTTAAAATCTAAATTTTCTTGAACTCTGTAGCTTCTGTAACATTTCACTGGCAGATGACTGGAGTAAGGCAAAGACAGTTTCCTGGAAACAATTATTTGTAAAATCTCGTGAGTGTGCAGAAACAACTGCTATGCATTCATCTTTCAAGGATATTGGAAGGTCATCTTGATAAAGAAGGAAAAAATAAAATGTTAGCACACCTTAAGTTGTGAGGAAGGCCTGATAAAGAAGTCTAAGCTAGGCAGAAATTAAAAAAAAAATGTAGGGAAGAAAAGATGAAATGTAGTGGCGTTATAAAGTGCAATCGATTATTAATATAACCCTTACAATATGTCACTTCTACCTGTACTCCCTATGCTTTTATAGCTTATGCAAAATTTAGGAAATGGCTTTCTCTGATTGTATCTTATAAAACATTGCTTTCTCCAACAGTTTGCGTTGCAAAACAAATGTTCAGACTTGTTAATTTTGCTCAGGAAGACTAGTTCTGCTATCCAGTTTAAGGAGAAACCTTTTATGAAATTGTTTGTGATCAGGTTCTCCTTCAGTTTATACTTCTAATTTACACATTGTATGTCAAATTATAATTGCCAGAGAAGTACTCTAGGGAGAAAAAGATCAAGATTATGAATTTGGTGTTAAACACTTATGCCAATGTAGTGTTTCCTAAATTGAGTGCATATTTTAAAGAGAAATGTCAGCTACAGTACCTGATTTTGATTCCATATGAGCCACTAGATCATAAAACACTGTGCACTAACTCCATCTACAGGTCATTATAATAGTAACAGTTCATGTAATTTTTCAAAAGCAGTAAAGGGCATTTAACTCCTCAGATGAAGAGTGTCTGGTAATAAAGTATGCTCTAGGCATACAATGGTCAGTATTTATCACATGCAATTATTTATAACAATAAGAATAGACTAGATCTCAAGAAAAGAATTCTCTTAATTTCATATGCTTTTTCAGATTAGTCCATCTTGCCTTTTAGGATTTCACGTTCAGACTTTCTTATGGGCCAGAGGAAAAAGCCACATAGAATCATTGAAACACATACAAATAATCTAAAACACTGGCCATTTAAGTGGTTTTAATCGCAATACTTTGTACACTTGATTGGATCACTTGAAACTGTCTTAAATGTGTTACACTTAGGAAACTCTTCTTACAATTTGTTAATGCGGTAGTTATGTCTAGTTGGAGTTCAGTTTTACCCATTGTTGATAAATATTTGTATGATATATTCTACCTCTATTAATTATAAAAGTGATGGTTTCAAAACATAATGTGCTCATGCATTTGTAGAGATGTATGACTTTTGAATTACAAATATATGAAACGTTCCATTTTTACAGATTTACAACCTATACCATGATCTTTAACAATGCTAGAAATTTTATTGTTGGAAAATGAACTGACATTGTATGCAGACAAAAATCAGGGTAACTTTTCCTGTAAATCATAAAGTCACACATTTTGTTAAGATACATGTGAGTAGTGAAAAGTTCAATTTAAGACACAAAAGTTGAATTAACACATATTAAAACCTTATGAAGTTTGTCCAAACTAACATGCAAATAAGACTTAATTTTTCATTTTTTTCACTCTAGTCTAATTTATTCCGTGATGTGGTTGAATTGCAGTTAAATTTTTTTTTTAATTCCCTTAGTCATGAATTCATCTGAGGACAATTTTCTTCCCCCTAATGGGATAAATGAAAAGTTACAGAAATTCTCATGTAGATTTAAAATAAAGTGTCCCCACCTTCTTCCAGTCAGGGTGCTCAGAAGGAGGATTCCGGCCCAAAGAGAGTGAGAGAGAGAGAGACTTCCCTTCATCGCGGGGATGAGCAGCTGGAAAGTAGAATAAGTCTAGATCAGTGTGTCTTGCAGGAAACATCAGGTTATAGCCACTAGGGCTGACTGAGGCAGTTCAGATGAATGCTTTCAAATCAGGAAATGACCTCACTGGAATATGATACCTCATTGGAAGTAATGGAAACCTGGACCATCCATTCTCCACTTTCCCTTCCATCCCTCATTCAAAAACTATATCTGTACTTTAATTGCTCCTGGACAAAAATACAAGTTGAAACACTTTGTGGTGCTAATATGGCTCAACACAAAAATCTGTGACTAGTTTTTTCCTAGGTTCTATTTAGCTCATATAATTTGATGTAGTGTCTCTTCTCTCTGCTTCTCATCTGAAAATTTTGACCTTTTTGATTTAAGTTCCCATAACTGAACTCTTTGTTGGGGTTTTTTAAAACTGGTTTCTCTAACAGGAGGAAAAATATCTCTCTAAAATGGGTGGGAAAGCAGAGGGAATGGCGTAGGTTGCCATTCCCTGTCAACAGAATTCATCTTTGTTTTCTGACTGTAGCTTTATGTCAGAAGCAGTTGTATTTTTTTTCCTTTTTTTTTTTTTTTTTCAAAGCTACTGGAAACACACTGTTGAATACCAAATTCATGCTTAAATTCTGTGTTGATGATTGCCTGGTTAAATGTGCTCACTAAGGCGTCTGTGAGGCTAGAGGACATACTCTGTAGTCAAACCATGTGCTGATCTCTCTTTCACATATAATCCATACACACCACACGCGTAAATGCACACAAACAGGCACCCACACATCTCGCAGTCCCTCCTGAATTCTGCCAGGTTGCTGCTACAAAACGGTTCGTCTCTAACAGATGGGACCTGGAGGGCTTTGCTTGGCATGAGTAAGGGGGTTCTTTTTCCCTCTTAGGTAAAGTGCAATCAGTCACTGTCTGATTGTTGAATTTAGACTTACAAGTGGGGCGATGGAGGAAGAGAGGAGTTCGGGAAGCTCAAAAAATTCAATTTATAGAATCTAACTGTGGAGTCAGTTTTTGAAATCCAGGGCACTACTTGGTAAAGGAGCAGATTGGATAACATTTTACTCTCATGTACCATCATTAATGATAGTCATTGTATGAGAAATGTTAAAGGTGTTTGATAACACTTCCCTAAATCTCTACTCTTTTGTATGGTCAGTGATTAATGGATTGCAGATATTTTAAAACATATTTTCATTAAGCACTGTCTACTTTGGTGTGCTATGTCTTTAAATACATCATAAATGCATTCTACACTCTTGGAGATCATTTAAAACAGTAAAGAAAAAAAATCACAAGCAGGCTGTAAGCAACGAAACATAATTTGTTTAGAATTGAAATGGTCAACAGATGAGAACTGTGAGGCTTTTACTGAAGATAGTAACTGCTTTTGACACAGATAAGTTGAATGTGATCAGAAATCTTTGGTAAATATCATTGTGTTAACAGATTGCATCCAAATTATGCATTGCAATTCACCCTTGTGTTAATCTTTAATATCTACTATGAAGAAAAGAGCCCTTGTCTTGGCCTGATTAATTTTCACTGATCTTTATAGAAAGGAGGAATTCCTGAAGGGATAAACAAAACAAAATGCCCAGAAAGGAACTATCCCCTTTCACCATCCTCTGACATTTTAAAACGAGAAAAACAAACCCATCATGGCACTTCAGTTGTTGAGTAAGAAAGTTTCTTGCAAATACAAACATAACAGTCTAAAAGGAACGCAGCAATCTCCTGCCTTCTTCCCACCTCCAGACACACACAACCCAAACACCCATGTCCCATGCCACCCGTATTGAATAATAAGTTGAGGTCTTCATGTTCAGCGTGGCAGAGACCCCTACACCAGAGGGCATTTCAGCAGCGCGCACCGAGGAGAGGGAAATCTTCAGCCAAGATAAGTGTGCTTATCTTCCGATGGAAAAGGGAGACAGGTTTTCTGTCCTAGCATCTTAACTTTAGACGATGGTCCCCAACATCCTTCCTCAACTCACCCAGCTCCTCCTAGCAAGAAAAAAATTAAAAAAAAAAAAAAAAAGAAGAAGAAGAAGAAGGAAGGAAAGGACCAAAATGACATGTCACCACCCATCCCGCGGGATAAATTGAAGCCTGCCTAAGAAAAGAGGACAGGGAAGAAGAGAGAAACAAATAACATCCTTATGTAGCTGCAGTTGTCACCCTGGAAGAAAAACATTCGTTGTTCCTACCTGTCATGGGATTAGGCTCTTGTCCTGCTCTCCTTTGCTCTATTTCCCCTCCTTCACTAGACAATTCCTGTCTCTCCAGCTAGGCAAAACCTTATTCAAAGCCGTGGGTATCCGGTCCGAAGCCTCACTTACCTCGGGCCCCCTTCTGGGCACAGGATCGCTCAAGACCTGGGAAAAGTCTGCGAGAGGAAATCGTGGAGACAGAGAGAGAGGCTGGAGCCGGCGCGAGTCCGCGAGTCCGGGCGCGCGGGGAGCGGAGCGCAGCGGCGTCCTCGCGCTGCCTCTCACTCACTCGGTCTGAGCCATCATGGACCCTGCGTGCTCTTTTGCTGAAGATTTCACACCCAAATTCGCTTCCCAGTGTTCATTCTGCAGCTATACAACAAAAGATTTCTCTTTACCATGACAGTAGTAATACGTCCCAGGGCAAACCGGATGTGAAATAGGCGGTGACTTCATGCCAGAAAGATTTTATTTTAGAAAGGAAGGTGGTACCAGCCTCTGGATCTGGAGAGCAATCCGCCCTTTTTTTTTTTTTTTTTAATATGCAGCACAATTTAACTTGCACCGCTCTGTCCCTAATCCCCTTCTCTCTCGCTGCAGACTCAAATCCTTCCACAATCTGCTGCAAGCTTCCCTTTTTGGAGAGGAGTGGGAATGGGGGAAAGAAGCGTAGAAAAGGGTAGGGGACACCGCGACTATATTGAGAAATTCTTCACATTTGCCATCTATGAGCACCCCGTTTTAAGGTGTGCCCATTATTTTTATCAGACTATCACTGCTTTGATCAAATATTTAACCACCGCATGCATATGAATGAACGCAAGCTATGAAACAGGGAGGCGCAGGGTGCACATGTGGGGCGCGCACGCTGCTCTCCCCCCTTGCTCGCACGCACTGGTACATGTATGTCGGAGTCCGTGCCTGCCAGAGTCGCCCGTGCTGAGGACGGCGGGGAAGAGTTCTGATCCGCGTGGAATTGGTCCCTGGGAGCCAAGCGCCCCCTGGCACTTTTTTTTTTTTCAGGTTGCGAGCGCTTTCTACCCCACCTTCGTCTGCAGCTGGGAGGACAGCAGAAACACGTTCGGGAACCAGGGAGGGAAATGTCTCTGTCATCGCGGAGAAAACAGGCGCCCGTAGCTCTGAATTATCCTACGTTCCTGGGAGAGGGATATTTGCTTAAATAATCGCCCTGATCGTTTCTAGGTTGGAGAGTCATAGCTCTATTTCCGGAGTCATCCCTCGGCCTGAGATTCATCATTCTCTAATTTAGGAAAATGGGAGAGGGTGAGGAAAGGTTTTTAGAAGCAAAGTTAAGACCCGCTTTTCCTTTTTTTTTTTTTTTTTTTTGCTTCTACTTATCTTGCTAACCTCTTCTTTAACCCTCCTTGGATGCTCTCCACCCACGAATAGACTTAGAGAAGGGGCGTGTGGTCCAACATCAGTCTTGACTAAATTGCCGAGGAACCAACGAGGAATGTAGTTTCCGTCTGGATTTTGTGAATGGCTTTTTGTAGCAGAGAGTGGGTGCTGCTTCCCGGGAGTGCTTACTGACAGGAACCCCCAGGGAACTGTCCCTTCAGCACTTTTGCCCAGACCAGGCAGGAGGCGCTGAACAGATGGGGTGGCCCTTTCTTCTGGTGGGTAAGATTGGAGGTGTGCTAAACTCACTGGCTGTTTTCCTCAAATGGGCTTCTGGTAGATCGACTTTTTGGATAGGGGAGGAACTTGACAAACCAAAGCGAAAACATAAACAGAGAATAGTTCAGAATCGCTTTGGAGTTTTTGTGTCAATATTCTGTTCATTTATTTATTTATTTGCATACTGCCATCAGTTTACCTTATCAACATTGAAGTCAGATTATTGAAATGATAAGCAGTATAAAATTACAAACCATTTTCAGAGGTGATCTGGATCACCTTCTTAGCGTGGATGGGAAATGTGACTGCGAAATAAGTTGAGGAGACACATTTTCAGAAGGGAATTTTGACCATCGTCTTAGAATGGCCCTGTTTCCGGACTGTATTTGTTTACCTGTCCTTTCAAAACACATGAAATACCACTATGTAAATACCAAGAAGATCTCCATCACAGCTTCCTTATGTAATATTGTTCGATTATGACTTCCTTATGAACCCATTAAGCTGCTGATTCGCTGAGCAGTTTTGAGACTAAGAATGCCTAGAATAAGACTTCCAAGTCCTGAGCAAACAATTATCTTCTTCCCTTTCCCTGTTCACTGCGACTTCACAATTGTAACAAAAATCAATAGCAATAAAAACGGGTTTTTTTCTGTTTTAATTTTTCACTGTTCTTTTCAAACCCCTCTACACATTGATTCTGTAAGTAGTGCCACACAACCAAATCATTCTGACAGTTATAATTTGTGAAAAAATTGTGGAATCTTTGTCATTTATTCCATAGTCATTGATATTAAGATCCATCATATCTTGTTTCATACTAAAAATATAAGGTTACAGTGCAATAGAATACAATTGTACAGTATTTCCACAGATTTTTTTAAAAGTAAATATTTACAAGCACTTTTGAAGCTTGTAATATTTATGTAGAAATGAATGAAAGTGCGTGCTCTGATTTTCTCTTTAAAAACATTACTGGCAAAGGAGATTGTACTGATTTCCTATGTAGAGCATCTAAGAGTGTATATGAGGTTTTTCATAAAGTCCACAACAATGTATGTTATGAAAAAATGCATAAGTTCCACAATTTGCTTTGCCTCAAATTGAACTTATCTTTAAAGTAATTTTTTCAATGAAATTCTTAAAATGAACTCATGTATGGAACGATATGTTTATATAGTTAAAGCTGTGTTTGGCCATATACATTTACTGTGGTGTATCGATGCTTTTAATAAGTTGAATGTCTATAATATTGACAATCTGACTACACAAAGCTAGCAGTAATATTCTAAATTATGAGTGTCTATCATTTTCCATCTGAGCTGTCATTAACATGCACATAAAGCTGGAGAGCAAACGCAAGAATTAATGATTATCACTTTATAGAGTCTTTATATAATAGGTTATATAATACTTTAGACAGGCTTGCTGTATTGGTGCTTTTAGATAACTTTGGCATTCTTGTTTTTTCTTTTTCCACATCAAATCACTTTATAATATGGGTGTATCTGATTAAGTTATCAATTATTCTTAATATTCCCAAAGTGTCTATTTAATGCCTAATGTTGCTACCCAGTGTATAGTCAGCTAAATTTTTAAAGTACATTCATGCATGATGGTCTCCTACCATTTTTGTTTTCAAATCATTCAAAACATTGTGATTTAGAGAGATTGACTTACGCAAGGTCATTCAGCTGGTGAGTATCTGTGCTAACGGGCAAAGGCAGATCCTCTGACTTCAAAGCTGATTCTCTCAAACACACTCCTGTATTACTCTGTTTCCTCACTACGAGGTTATGACTCATGTTAAAATCTTTTAAATTCATTTTATACACGTGATTCACCATCTTTGTATCAATGATATGCAATCTGTCTGAATACTTGCATTATTCATTCATTATTTAAGTCTTTTGATAATCAAGTTCGTCCATTTCAACATAGTGTCAGGTTTACTTTGAATGTGTTCCAAGTGGCCAAGACCCTCTTAGCAATTTTTAGTTATTGGCAGAGGCAATTTGAGGTGAATTCTAGGTCCATGGATCCTGGGGAGGCCTAAAAGCTCTATCTGCAGTGTTGCAGTCTGGTACATTTTGCTTTTTCTGTCAATTTGGTATTTGGGCTTGTAGACACGCGGACCTATTGGATGTTTGCTGGGCGGTGGCGAGTGCTTCGATATATTTTGTTGGGGGGGTACGGGAGAATTATTTTGGGCGTTTATGGGTAGTTTTTTGGTGGTGTGTGGGGGGTGGGTGGGACATAGGGTGGGGGTGGGGATTTTAAGCGGGTCGTACACTTATTGGGGTTGGGTCCTTGTTTTTTTTTTTCAGTTTGTTTGGGTATGTTTAGGGAGGTTGGGGCTGGGGGTGCATTGTAGCGAAGGTGGGTAACGAGGAATGGATTGCCTTCAAATTTGTTTGAGTGTCACTCATATCCCCCCCCCCCCCCCCCCCCCCCCCCCTAACCACCAACCCCCAATAATCAAATACAACCCAACAAATCCAAAATACCCTACTAACCAACATCACCCCACACATTCTATTCATTTTTTTCCCTTCCCCATTCATTATTCCAAACCCCCCCCCCATCACCCCCTACTTATACCCCCTAACTGTTTTCCTAATCATACATCACAAACCTCACACCATTCCCCCCAATCCTAACAATTCCCTCTAACCCCATCCACTATTTTATACCCAACACCTAACTTAATCTCTTCCTAAACATATACCCCCAAATAACCACCAAAAAAACTAACCCCCCCGTAAATCTTCCTAAAACCACCTCTCCACCTCCCTTCCGCCCGAGGGCTCAGATACAGTGGAAATATTATAATGTTTACGTACTATGAAATGTGGACACCAACATGCAAAAATAAATGTACAAGTTGCAATTGAATGTGAGTTTACTTATGTTTATGGAAGTGAATATTTATATGGATTATTTCATTGTATTTATGAAAGTATTCTCATTTCTCTGATTTCTCTGTATATAATCCAAACCACATACTCAGAGGGGTACTCATTCTTTGATAACTGATTCAAAAGGAGTAGCTCAGTTGGAAAAGGGAATAAAAACATGATTCTAGTCATGGAGTACTGCTGTTCCTTAATATAGACACAATTGTTTTCTTAGGTACTCAGAAAAAATATTTTTTCTAGGCTAGAGGGCTAGTGTGGCACTTCAACATACTGAGAGATAAAAGATATTAAAACAATAAAACAATTATTAACAGTTGATTCATCAGTGCTTGACACTCCGGTCAGACTTACAGACTGTTGTCCCAATCACTTCTACAGATGACCGTGTAACTTGTCCTATGGTCTTTGCAGAAGTAGAATCCAGGGCAACATGGCAAACAAAATGGTTGTATGTGATTATCTAGTTGAAATCCCTGTACTTAACAGATGGGTGGCAAAGGTAGATAACTGAACTTCCTGAATCTTGCTTTCTGGGGCCTTTTAAAGGGTTTTCCAAGTTTCAAAAGCTGGTTGTGTCATTACATCGAAAAATAAATGTGACTCACAAACCACTTTTTTGTGGCATTTAATGGAAATCTACTATATTATGTTTTCTGTCCTTTTTTCACACTATGAATTATTTTTAACAGCAACTTAGTACCTTACTTACAGTACATTCATATAACCCCAACTACTGAGGGCTTTTCTCACATTTTGCAATAGATATAACTGAAGAATAAGGTTACTATCAGACAAGATGCTGGCAAAA